TAGACGCGGTCGAGCCTGTCGAGGTCACTGGTGACTCTGGTGCTGCTGCGGGTGCGGAGCCTCGGGGTGCTAAGCCTGGGGGTGCTGAGACTGGGGGTGCTGAGCCTGGGGGTGCTGAGCCTGGGGGTGCTGAGCCTGGGGGTGCTGAGCCTGGGGGTGCTGAGCCTGGGGGTGCTGAGCCTGGGGGTGCTGAGCCTGGGGGTGCTGAGCCTGGGGGTGCTGAGCCTGGGAGTACTGCGTCTGGGGGTGCTTCGCCTGGGAGTGCTGCGCCTGCTGCTTCTGTTCCTGGTAGTTCTCCGGACCGTTCTTCGCGCCGCGAGCTGCTCTCTCCTCTGGAGCTGCGTGAGTGGTTTGCCCGGCGCTGGAGGCGAGCTGCTGGAGCTGGGGGTGTTGCGGGTGCTGGAGGTTCTGTTGCTGCCGAGGGAGCTGGTACCACAGGTCCCGGAGGTGCTCGTACTGAGAGTACTGGAGCTGCCGGGCCCGGGGATGCCTCTGGAGCTGGAGCTGCTGCGGGTGCTGGCGCTGAGTCTACGACTTTCGGTCCTACTGAGGGTACTTCTGGCGCTGCTGGAGGTGCTGGAGTTGGAGCTGCTACTGGTGGTGGTGCTGACTCTGGAGGTGTTGGTGCTATCCCTGCTGTCTCTGGCGGTGCTGCGCGGCCTCGGCCGTACTTCGTTCCACTCCTTCAGCAGGTTCTTGGTCTCCCGCCTTCCACTGGTCCTTCTCCTCCCGTAGAGTGTCCACAGCCTGTCTTGTCGCAGTCACAGTTACAGCCCGCCTCTCCCCTGCCTTCTCCTTCTCCCTACACTGGTCGTACTGGGGGTCTTGCTGAGCGGCGTGAGCCTGCGTCCCGCCCTGCGTCGCCAGTCCGAGCTGCTCGCCGTAGTGGTCGCGGTTCGCGTCAGCGTCCTCCTCCTGTCCCTGGCACACACAGGATGTCTCTGCGTCCGTCCACTGCTCCTCTGCGTGCCCCTTTGCCTTCTCCTCCTCAGTCTTCTCTTCCTACACTTGCCGACCGGGAGTCGGACTCTCGCGTGCTGCCAGTCCTACTGTCACGCTTCTTCTTGCTACTGTTGTCACTGACCCTTCCTTTGAGTCCGGTGCTGCGTCTGCGCTAGTTGCTGAGCTGGTCGACTTTGCTGCTGCGTGTCGTCTAGACTACGCTGCCAGTCTTGTTGCTGAGTCTGCTGAGTCTGCTGAGTCTTCGTCTGCTGCGTCTTCGTCTGCCTGTTCTCCGTCCATCGGGGGTGACTGTGCTCTTGGCACGGACGTCCTTGAGGACAGGCAGGAGGAGTTCCAGTGCTTTGCCGCCGCTTTGCCCCATCTCGTGTCCATGCTTGTTGCCCCTGAGGGAGACCCGGATGCTCTAGACATCCCGACCCCACGCTCTTACGCAGAGGCGATGGCCGGTCCCTACTCCTCTCAGTGGCAGTCAGCCATGGACGCAGAGATGGCTTCCTGGAAGTCCACAGGCACCTACGTCGACGAGGTTCCCCCACCTGGGGCGAACATTGTCAGTGGCATGTGGATTTTCAGGGTGAAGCGACCGCCGGGTTCTCCGCCTGTCTTCAAGGCGCGCTACGTGGCTCGTGGCTTCAGTCAGTGACAGGGAGTTGACTTCTTTCAGACCTTCTCCCCGACCCCGAAGATGACCACTTTTCGGGTTCTACTGCATGTCGCTGCTCAGCGTGACTACGAGCTACACTCTCTTGACTTCAGCATTGCTTTCCTGCAGGGCCGCCTGCACGAGGAGATCTGGCTGCGCCGCCCTCCTGGCTTCACTGGGCCGTTCCCTCCTGGTACCCAGTAGAGCCTCCGGCGGCCAGTCTACGGTCTCCGCCAGGCACCGCGTAAGTGGCACGACACACTGAGGACTACACTTGCGGCTCTTGGGTTTGCTCCTTCTACTGCTGACCCGTCGCTGTTTCTACGCACCAACACCTCGCTGCCGCCGTTCTACATCCTCGTGTACGTCGACGACTTGGTCTTTGCCACTGCGGACACTGCCGCACTCGCCCACGTGAAGTCCGAGCTGCAGAAGAGACACACGTGCACAGACCTGGGTGAACTGACAAGCTATCTTGGCTTGCGGATCACCCGGGACAGAGCACGCCGCACCATTACCCTGACTAAGTCACACATGGTGCAGCCGGTCCTTCAGCGCTTCGGCTTCACGTACTCCTCGCCTCAGTCCACTCCTCTGCCTACGGGACACTCGCTCTCAGCTCTGCCTTCGGATGAGTCCGTAGAGTCGAGTGGTCCGTATCTAGAGCTTGTGGGCTGCCTCATGTACCTGATGACCTGCACTCGACCTGACCTCGCATACCCTCTCAGCATCTTAGCACGCTATGTTGCTCCCGGCCGTCACCGGAAGGAGCACATAGATGCAGCTAAGAGGGTGTTGCGCTACTTGTGCAGTACGTCGGGCATGGGGCTAGTGCTTGGAGGGCGAGAGCGGCCTGTGCTCACTGGGCACTCAGACGCTTCTTGGGCTGACGACCAGGCTACTCAGCGGTCGTCTCAGGGTTACACCTTCAGTCTTGGTTCTGGCTCTGTCTCTTGGCGCTCTACTCGCTCTTTTTCTGTTCTCAGCTCCAGCTGTGAGGCTGAGATCTACGCCACGGCCATGGCTGCCCAGGAGCTTCGCTGGCTCACCTACCTGCTGACTGACCTTGGAGAGCGGCCTCGTTCTCCTCCAGTGCTGTACGTCGACAACAAGGCAACCATTGCCTTGTGTCAGGAGCACAGACTGGAGCACAGGACGAAGCACATTGCTCTGATACCATGTCGAGATTAGAGAGAAAAATGAGTGCACTATGGAATGAAAACAAGGATACAAGTACCAACCCTAATTGGGTTGTACCCCCTATGGTCTACCCCAACAGCAGCCTACAATACATGCATCAGCTAAATATAATCTGACATAACTCTATCTTGTGGTCGTGCGGTCGCTGAGGTGGCAGTCCCGTCGGTATATCGTCTGGGAAAATGTCGCTGTACTGCTTCAACAGTGCTGCCAGATCACTCGGTACGTCGGCCAACAGATTCTGTAAATCCCCTCCTTTGTCTACTGCCTCGGCTTCCCGAATGTCGACCGCGTACACGACAACTCCTGCCGCTACGGCGCGTTTCATCGTGATCTCGTTGACACGCACCGATGAAGACTCAGGTGAGCCCCAGCGAGGTAAGGCGATGTTGTTACCGTTCGCTCGCACAGTGCAATCACCCGTCGTCCAGTCGATTCGCGGATTGTGTCGTCGCAGCCAATCACGCCCCAAGTAAAATATCGGTTCCGTCGAGGGTCGTTGCGAGCATTTCCTAGCTAAACGTGAAGTTACCCCCACATCGAATCCGAACCCGGTCTACGCGTTCCCGTATCGCCAGCGGCGTGCCGTCTACCAGTCTTGCGTCGATCTCAAGTAAACAACTGTCCAGTGGCAGTCGCAGTTTTCGTGTTGTGGCAGTGTTGATGAGGCTGTGGCTGGCTCCCCCGTCTACGAAGATTTTTACTAAGTCCGTCCCGATTTTCCCACTAAGCAGTATAGGGCTGTCTACCGTAGTACCCTCCTTATTCGGCCGAGTGTGATCGATTGCGTGAACCGGCACAATCACTCGGTGAGGGTCAGTTGGGTCGGGCGAGCGGCGTGACCTATCAGTAGAGGGCCCGTCTGCTACTGACTCCCAGCGTTTCCCTGCTGCTTGGTCTGCTTCTGCTGCTCAGCTTCCCCCTTTCCCTTAGCGTTTTCCGGGCATTCGCTCTTGCGATGTCCCGGCCGATTGCACGCAAAGCAGCGCCCTTTGAACGGTGCGGCAGCGGCATTTGCGGCGACGGCACGTATCGTGGCGCCCTCGTTTGTCCCACGAGGCCGATGTCCCCAATGGCTGCTTCCGTAGGACCCCGGTCTCGGTCGGCGGAAGAAATCAAGTTTCTCCGCCATAGCGAGAATTTCTTGAAAGTCGGTGACGTCGCGAAGCTGGATTTCCTGAGCGATGTCCTGCTTCAGGCCGCCGATGTAGCGGTCGATGCGCTCGCTCTCGTGCATATATCCCACCTGCTCGCATAGCGCCAGAAATCCGCTCGTGTAGTTTTGGACGGAACCGAGTTGGCTCCAAGTGCGGAGCTTCTATCGCGCCGCGATCGAAGCCGGGATTGGCTCGAAATGAGCGCGCAGACCTGCGCACCACGCGTCCCACGTGCGATACTGGGGCACCTCCACGAAATACGACGGCGCCCAGGGTCCGGTTTGTCCTTCCCTTATCGATAGAGTCGCGTAGTCCGCCGGCTTCATGACGATGACGCGCCACCAGTCCATGGCGGGTCTCGCAGCAACGACACGGCGTAACGAATCTTCGCCGTATCCTCCGAGACGTAGTTCGCGTCGAAGAAAACGTTCAACGTCAAGAGCCACGCCTGAACGGTAGGACCACAAAGATGTGAGCGAAGGCATGAGCGAACATTTATACGCGAAACATGCAAACGGTAACGCGGTGCGTGCGAGCTAGCTAGTGCTATGCTGGCAGCGAGGCTCGGGCCAGTCCCGAAGCGTAGGCCAACACGGCCGGGCCAGCAGTGCGAGGTTTGGCAAAACAGTACGCGCGAAGTTGGCGAAGTCCCGTTAGCAGTAACGGGCGAACAACGGCTGTTGCTGTACGCGATGTAGTCGGGCTCCGTAAGGAATGCCGAGAAAATTCCTTACAGGTACAAATATCTTCTCACGATCGCCAACCATGACGCATGTATGCACCATTTCTTCAAAGACTGCATGCATGCATAAAGCACTGTTTCCGTTTTAAGCAAGAGGTTGCATCATGAAAAGGTAAAAGCAACTAACTCAAACTTCACATATAAAACCATGCTATACGAGACGAGCTTACGGTACTATTGAAGGTAAGTCATACTTGCATGACGATTGAGAGGGAACAAACTAATCCTAAGATATAACTACCGTATTTATATGTGCCCGCAAATCTGCTGAGGGCAACAATGCATGGATGTTATTTCAATAATGGAGGACATTTGGTAAAATGCTCATGATCTCATCTGCAGAGTCTGGTCGAAACGGCCGAGCAAACATGAAGCATGGCTTGGGTTGGCCATTCCATCTACAGGTTGTGGGGCTCTGCAGGAGTATTAAAAACAACGGGATTTGACATCAACTGAGCATAATAGTGAACATGAATCGTCTGGCAAATAGACACTGCATGCCAGCCAAGATCTTTCTGAAGAGGAAAGTTACAGAACAGTGGTCTGAGCACAACGCTGGTAGAAAAGGTAAAGTTGAGTGAACTTACAATAACAGAATCTGCAATCTTATGGAAATATGTCGTGGCCTCTTGCATGTCCTGGATGAACCTCGAAGTGATGTTTACAGCACCATACTCCACCTCCTCCCACTCCCCCACCCGCTCAAGCATCTCCCTCCGCCCCTGCCACACCTCACCATCCCCCCCCTGACCCTCCTCTGCTCCTGCGCGCCTCATGGCGCCCTCCTCCCGCCGCTGCTGCCGCCGCCGCTTGCGCGTGCGCTGCAGGGCCTGTTCCCGCATGTGAGCGTGCACAGCAGCAGCGGTAGCCATGTGCGGCTCGTGGGTGATGGTGAAGTTGGCCACTCCATCGGGGTCTACTGTCTGGTGATCATTACAGGGGCGAGGGGGAAGGGGGAAGGGGGATGCGGGAAGGAGGAAGGGGAGAAGGGCGGGTGGGTAAGCAAGCAGTCTCCCACTGCATCCGATTGTCCCATCGCCAGCTCAACATCCCCTGGGGGACCTTTGTCAAGGCATCTGCGGTTGTGATACACAGCAGTGTTGTAATGATGGCGGTCTGGACGTGGGGGAACGAGCGGGGAAGATCCTGAGGAGTCAAAGAAATGCAAGACCTGAAGTAAGAAGCGGTGATGAGGGAGCAAAATGAAGGGGAAACAGAAGGGAGGTGGAACGCAAAATGGGGGAGGGGAAAGAGAAGGACACAAAAAATGGGGGGAAGAGATTGAGGCGAAGGGAGAGGGAAAGCGATGGGAGTGAGGACACGAAAGGAGGAAGAAAACGACAGGAGGGATAAGTCGAAGGCGCACCCTGAGGAAAGTAGCGATGTAGTGTTCGTCAGGCCGGCACGCTGGTGCTGCTGGTGGTGTGTGCGCTGCTGGCGACGAGGTGGAGGGCGCCCCACTGTTGCTCCCGCTAGACACTGCTGCCGTGCCCTGGTGATGGCGCACGTTAAAAAAGAAAGATGGGCGGAGAGATGAGGGATAATGAGTGTGAGATGCTGACTGGTTGGCATGAGGAGACATGAGGCTTGAAGAGGCAGGAGGTGAAGGAATCTGGGGAAGACGATGATGAGAGGAGAGGAGGGAAGAGCGAGAGGGTGTGAGGGGACACGGGGGGAGGGAGCGTACGGGGCAGTGCAGCTTGAAGGCGCGGTAGAACATGCTGTCTGCCACGATGGCCGTTGCATGCGGTCGGTTCACCGCCACCCACTGCCGCGCACAGGGTGGGATGGGGAAGAGAACCGCACGATGGGCGACGTCGAGTCGATGGTACACACAGCAAACTTGAAGCAGGAAACTGGAGATTGAGGAAAGCGAATGGCGAGGAAAGAAGCAGGCATTGGGCCGGCAGCAACGCCGTGTACCACTCCCAACCACGCCACGCGCACTGCTAGTATAGTACCTTGGAGCTCCGCGCAAACTTGTGCTGCGGAACGAGTGGAGCAAGCCCGCGCGGATATGCTGTCGGATCGTTCGCCCTGGGGGAATGGCAGGGAGAAGCAGGGTGCGGGGGGGAGGGGGAGGCGGGGGTGGAAGGGGCGCGGGACGAGTGGGGAGGGGATAAGGGGACAGGCTTGAGTGTGGTGGTGAGACGTGAAGGAGGGAGAGATTACGACGGAAATTTCAGTGAGAAAGGCGCGCACGGAGTGCCAGCATGTATATTAAATGCGTCGCTCATCCTTCTGAGAGACTTGCAAGCTTCAGGCACAACTGGGAGAACGAAGAGGGTGACGGGCGACTCACATGGCGACGAAGGAGTGGCGCGAGTGCAGCAACGACGAGTAGATGCGGCTGAAGCTCTGGATGGGGATGGCGCTGCGGTGAGAGGGACGACCAGGGAGAAGAGGGGACGGGAGAGTGAGGGGAGAGGTGAGTAGGTTGAGCGCGTGAGAGCACGTGCACTCGGGGGCGGCTGGCACGGCGTGGCGAGTGCGCCTGCTGGCCGTGTGATCGCGGGAAGCGGAGCGCGAGTAGAGGAAGGCGCGGGTGAGGATGACGACAAAATGCGTGGGGAAACGAAAAGGAGGATGGAAGCAAGGTGGAAAGAAGGAGAGCAGGGAGGGCGCACGTGTGGTGGAGGAAGAGGAAGAAGTGGTTGTCGCGGTCCAGCAGCGCCCATGCCAGCAGCCGCCTCTGCGCGTCCACCGCCGTTATCGCGCCCTCTTGCACCTGTGGGAGGAAGTGGCGGAAAGGAGGGATGGGAAGATGGGGAGAAGGTGGGTGAGGCAGACAAGAAAAGTGGTGGGAGAACACGAAAGGGAGGAGACGACGATGAGAAAGAGACACGCCGAAACGAAGCGACGCGCGGAGCGGAAGAAACGCCCTGAGAGAAAGAGCCGCGCGAAGAGGAACGGGCGCGCGGGGAGCAAGGGGCGTGCGGGGAGGAAGGGACACGCGGGGAGCAAGGAACGTGCGGGGAGGAAGGGACACTCAGGCAGGAAGGAACGTGCTGGGCGAAAGGAGGCACGAAAAAAAGAGGCACACGGCTTCTTCAGCTACCGGCTCGCGCCTTCCCTCCACCTCACCGCGCCCTCCGTCCCCGCTACCACACGCTCTACGCACACGAGGTGCGGAAATCGATCCGCCACGAATCTGCGCGTGCGCTCGGCCGGAACCCACTCAACCACGCTCCGCCACCCCAGCCACTCCCACACCCTGTCCATCATCCTCACTGCCGCGCTCTCGCCTCCCGATCGGCACGCTTGCCTATCTCCAGCCGCACTCTCTCACCGGAAGACTGGGGATGTCGTTTCGTCGAAGGAACCGGCCTTCGTCCGCGTTATAGCGCATCTCAGTGCCGCCCGTGTGCACGTAGACGGAGAAATTGCTGTTGTCGCCCTCGAGCTCCACCGAGCCTTTGAGCTCCGCCTGTAAGAACCGATCCCATACGCGCTTTAGAGGCAGGAGGCCCTGATCCGTTAAAAACAGTAGCGCTAATTTGGCGGTTCTCTTGCGATTCGTGAGAGGATTATGCGGCAGCGATAGCACGGACATGGTTACTGCCTTCTCCGCCACGTGTCGGTCTGGAACAGGCCGCCAGTCTGTACCTGCTGTTTCCACCCGTCTTCCCGCTGAACTCCGCCGCACTTCCCGCGTGAAACGAAGTATGTGAACACCGAGATATCGCGAGGCGTAAAATTTGGGATGCAAAAGGAGTGTGGCGGCTTCGAACGTGGCGAACCAGAGCGCCAAAGCGATGCCGGCCGCTGCGAGGATGTAAACGAAAGTCTTCAATCGGTTATCCCATGCCGTTGACGTTCGCGAGAACGCAGAGGTGCTGCTCCCAACAGGCGATTTGGTGGAAACCAATGTCATGCCGGAGAACCGTCGAAGCTTGAATTACGCTGTGCTGTTTCGAGCTTAGGAACCCTTAGCCACGATCAGTTGAATTACGCTGTGCGGTCTAAACCCTTAGCCACGATCAGTTGAAGAAACGTAATAAACAATGTCTCCATGGCTGGTGGGAAATGCGGGTGCTGCGGTTCTAGCTTCACAATGCCCGCCCCAAAAAACAATAAAGCAATTTCTCTCCAACACATCGCGCCGCTTCTTCTGCCGAAATTCAGGCTGCCCAAACGAGCTCCTCCTTTTTGCGCGACGCGCTGCTAGACTGCCAAAATCTTCCGTTACAACAGTTTCTCGAAAAAAATGGGCTTCGAAACGAAGTCCTGCGAAATCTGAAATTTGCTGCCCGCTTCAGGCGCTCGTGTGGTTCGTTGGCTCCAGACTGCTACACAGTATCAACAGCAGAATCGACCCTACATGCGCCCCCGAAGTGCGACAAGGGAAGGCGGAAGCAAATGGCTGTTGCGAAAACGCCATTGACAATTGACGGGACAAGCGAAATGAGTTGTGCCCATTTCAACGGTTCAGAAGAAGCCTTCTTACAGCCAATCAGCACGAGATCGCAAAGGTGGTCAGCTTTGAGCTGCCCATAACGTAACCGTACAGCCCAACTGAAGCTTGGTTGAACGTGGCGGGAAAGTGAGTGGTGTTGAAACTTCAACAGGTTTGCAAATGGTTTGTCGCTCGGTCCGGTTGGTCCTTACAACGGCTACTATCAGCTCCCAAGCCGCGCCTAACCAAAGCCTCCCTTTCAATTCAATCCGTTTCGGTCACTAAATTGCTGACATAGTTGGCGCTTCAGGTGGTGATCGGCATTGATTTTGACAGTGTTTAGTACAGTTCATGTCAACACATATTTGTATGTTCTTAGTTCTGCTAGGCTAAAGTGAGGTGCTCAGTATAGAGTACAACCCCATTTAGGGTTTCATACTTGTATCTCCCTGTTGCTAGTCATTCACATTCCTGCTGTAAGGAATTTTCCCAAATTCCTTATCGGGGTTGACTGCTTCGTGTACAGCCCGATTTTCGGACTTGGCACGTTCGGCCGATTTCAACGCTGCCGAGGCTCCTCGCGTCGCCTTCGGCTTTTCCCATCGCCAAACCTGCACCCAACCTCGCTCTCCCGAGGTTCCCTCCTAGCTAGGCCAACCCCTACATTAGTCTGTGCCTTCATTGTATTCTCAAATCAGTTAATCACAATCTCGTTATTCGTTTACCTGCGCACTCTCTTTTACAACTCATAACACCTAGTATCAGAGCTACTTTCCTAGTTCACCCCGCTTTTCCGAGGGTAGTTGTTGGAAATGGACACTGGAATGGCCCAAAGTGGTCTTCCCAAGGGCTACATGTATCGTCCTGGGAGGGTATGGGTGCGCTGACCCACCAACTAAACAAGCCCTTTTAGCCCAGTTGGTTAGCGAACTGGACATGGTGGAGGAGTGGGGTAGAGACCCGGGTTTAGTTCCTGCTGTCAGCAGATTTTCTGTGCCCTAGTGATGGGCCCTCCCAGTGAGGGGAGTGTTGGAAATGGACACTGGAATGGCCCAAAGTGGTCTTCTAAGGGCTACAAATGTCGTCCTGGGAGGGTATGGGTGCGCTGACCCACCAAGTAAACATGCCCTTTTAGCCAATTTGGTTAGCGAACTAGACAGTAGTTTGGTGGCACAGGGTGTGACTGGTTTAGTGACTACACGACGGTTGGCTGCAGAGATAGTTAATTCAATCCTGCCCGACTCCGATAGTTCGTGTTTTCACTTGCCTGAAGGCCACGGAGACCCGACTGCCCACCAGACATAGCGCTAGGCTCATGGATCAGGAGGCGGTTGACATGATGATGGCGCAAGTGGCGGAAATGCAGGAGAGCATGAAGTTGTTAATGGCGGAAGTGACAACACTGCGTGAAGAAAACGCCGAGCTGCGCCAGACGCGAGGTGAAGCGCGTAAGGTGTCGCCCGAGGACGAAGGCGAGGGCAACAGTCAAGCGGTGAGCAATCCATTGGACGCGCTCACACGTAACTTCGAAGAGGAGGACCGGCAGCGAGCGGCAGCAGCACCAGTTGCAGTAACGACGATCAAGATCAAGTCCGTCAACCCGCCCCCATTTAATCCTACGGACAAGACAGTTACAGTAAAGGGGTGGCTATTCGGGGTCGAGGTTTTCTTCACTGTAGCAGGAATTAATGACGACGCCACGCGTACTAATTACGCGGTTTTGCTACATGGCAGCAAGAATAGCATCAAAGTCAAGATCAAAGATAGCTACTCCCGCCCTAGACAGCTCGCCCCAGCGAGCGATCTCTGTGGCGTCAGGGAACTGGTGACGCCTAGCGTCCGTCAGGCGGCCGAAGCAGCGCTGGGTGGAGTGCAGACCCCCGCACTGCTCACCCGCACGGTCACCGGTACGGAGGGCGTAGGTGCAGGGGCCAGCACCCCCACCCCGCTGACGCGCAGCGTACCACTCACGAAGCTGCTGGGGGGGAGAGGTCTCACGAGTGCGCTGCTACTGCTGGCGCTGTCCACCACCGGGGCCACCTCTCTGCGTAGGGCTGTGACCCGCTCCACTGCCGCCGCCGCCACCTCTGCCTCCTCCACCTCCTCCGCCTCCTCCGCTCCCACCACCACTGCCGCCTCCACCCCCGCCTCCACTGCTGCCACCGACGCCTCCACCCCTGCCACCACTCCCACCACCACCCCCACTCCCTCCACCGCCTCCCCCTCCACCTCCGTCGCCCCTGCCAGCTCCTCCAGCGCCCTTGCCCCCCTTGCCCTTGCCGGTGCGGCGTCTCCCACTAGGGGCAGACGCCGCTCCGACCGACTCGAAGCCAGCGAGGTCGGCCGCAGCAGTAGAGGCGACAGAGGGCAAGAGGAGGGAGGGGGAACACCCCTCAAAGACGGGGGTATGAGGGTCACCACGAGAGGCTCCTACAGCGACTATACTCTTCTCTGCTGCCAGGAGGTGCTCCTCGAGGAGGTCAACGGTGAGTGTGGTGGGGCAAACTGAGAGGAAGTGGTCCCTGACTAAGCGAAGGGAGTCAGGGAGCCGGGTGACTATGTAGTAGAGGGTGAGGTACATGGGGGGGGGGGGGGGGGGGTTCTTGGCGCAGAACTCAGCAGGAACTGCAGCGCGGTAGCGAGTGTCACTAGTGCGAAGGTGCGTAATGAGGTCAGCGATTGTGGGAAAAGCGGCGAGGTTAGGGAACAGGTACGGCAGTATGAGGCTGCTAAGGGCAGTAGTGGCAGGGGAAGAGTAGCGTGCAACTACAGCGTCGTACAAGGTCTTAGCACTCTTGTACTGACTAAAGTGCGCACGCTCAGCGGTCGGTAAGTGGCGACGCACAGCAAGACGGGCAGCAGCATCGCATGTGGCCCACTGTGAGCGAACAGTGCTGTCAGCATCAGCAGGCCGGGTAGGAGAGGCACCAGACGTGAGATCGAAGAGGGAGAGACTCTCTGCCCTATCGCACTGTAGGAAAAGTTGTAGGTGATCGACCCAGACCTCAAAGTCAACAGCCCGACCCTCAGCATCAAAGGTAAGGACACTAGGGGTAGCCATGATAGTAGCAGTCTAGCGGTGAGGGCAGCAGAGTAGGGGCAGCTCTGTGGCAAGGGTGCTGCTCGGGAATTCTCTCACCAGTCCGGGTGGGGAGGGCCGCAACTGTGGCTGCTGCGGCTCGGCGACGACTCAGTGGCGGCTCGGCGGCTCGGCGGCGGCTTGGCGGCAGCTCGGCGGCGGCTCGGCGGCCCGGCGGCGGCTCGGCGGCGGCTCGGCGGCTGCTCGGCGGCTCGGCTGCAGCGGCGGCTGTTCCGCGGCTCGGCGACTCGGCGTCTCGACGGCGGCTCGGCTGCTCAGCGGCTCGGCGGCGGCTTAGCGGCTCAGTGACGGCGGCGGCAGGGCCAGGGTAGGAGCGGTAGGGCGGTAACTGGGCCGCTGGAGGGCGGCGACGGGGCCGCGAATAGCGGCGACGCGGCCGCGAAGGGCGGCGACGTGGCCGTGAAGGGCTGCGACTGGGCCGCGAAGGCGGCGACGGGGCCGCGAGAGGGCGGCGACGAGGCCGCGGTAGGGCGGTGACTGGGCCGCTATAGGGCGGCGACCGGGCCGCTGGAGGGCGGCGACGGGGCCGCTAGATGGCGACGACGGGGCCGCGAAGCGCGGCGACGCGGCCGCGAAGGGCGGCGGGTGGGCCGCGAAGGCGGCTACGGGGTCGCGAGAGGGCGGCCGGGCCGTAAGGGGCAGCGCCGAGGCCGCGTAGGGTGGGGCCGCTAGGGGCTGCTAAGGGCAGCGACGGGGCCGTGAGAGAGGCTGCTAAGGCCGGCGCGACGGGCCGCTAAGGGGAGGGCGGCCGACAGGGCGCGCCTCAGGCTTAGGGCAGAAAAAAAAAATTACTCGATTTTCAGTGGTGGGCCCTAGAAAAGTTCCCACTAGGGAACCTGCTCTTTACCATGTGAAGAAATGAGGAATGAAGGAACTAGGAGGAAGGTGGGTACAAGTATGAAAACCTAAAAGAGTTGTACCCCATATAGTCTACCCCACTACAGCCTAGATAGACTATAGCATATAAACTTGACATACCGAACCCACCAGCACGAGATCATCGAAGAACCTGGTTCAAAACCGACCTTCCGAGCACCATATTGACTCAACCCAACCGAGTTGGCCGACATGAGGAAACGGATCGAGTACCTTCTGGACAAAGGACTCATACGACCATCAACATCACCATACGGTGCACCAGTGCTTTTCACACCAAAACCTGACGGAAGCTTACGCATGTGCATCGACTACCGAGCCCTCAACAAGCAGACGATCAAGAACAAGTATCAGATTCAACGGATCGACGATCTACTTGACCAGCTTCGTGGAGCCACGGTATTCTCAAAACTCGATTTGAGATCGGGATATTGGCATATCCGGATGGCGGATAACTCCATCCATAAGACGGCGTGTCGGACACGATACGGATCCTACGAGTACCTTGTCATGCCGTTTGGACTCACCATCGCACCCGCTACATTCCAGGCCGAAATGAACCATATTCTCAGGTCTCTACTCGACGAATGCGTGGTGGTGTACCTGGACGACATCCTGATCTACTCGAGGGACATGAAGCAGCACATCGAACACCTACGACGTGTCTTCGAGATACTTCGACGGGAGAAGTTCTACGTCAAGCTATCCAAGAGCGAGTTTGCCTTGAAGAAAGTTCAGTTCCTTGGACACATGGTGAGCGCTCAAGGAGTCCATGTCGACAAAAAGAAGATCGAAGCCGTACGTACGTGGAAGACACCGGAGAACGTGAAGGAACTTCAACAATCCCTTGGCAGAGAAAAAGAAATTGTTGCAGTGGGACCATGACATCGCACTACGCAAAGGATCAACAAAGATATGGGTACCCAACTACCCGCCTCTTCGGCAGTTGCTTCTCGAAGAATTCCATGACGTGCTCTACCCTGGACACTTCAGGAGTAACAAGACTCTTGCCGGGATTGCAAAAGTCTACTATTGGCCTCACATGGCGGACGACGTGCAGAAGTTCGTCACTTCGTGCGACACATGCCAGCGGATGAAGAGCAGTAAACAGAAGAAAGCATGACTTCTTCAGCCTCTACCCGTCCCGGAACAGCCTTGGCAAGTGGTCAGCTTGGATTTCATCACCGGTTTACCACCTACCAACGTGGGGCATGACGCCATCCTGGTCGTCATCGACAAATTCTCAAAGATGGGACACTTTATTCTGACACATACAACCGCACGCACGGAGGAAACGGCACAGCTATTCCTCAAACACATCATCTCACAGCACAGGATCCCAACAACCCTCTGTCAGAATATTATGCTCTAGCCTGTAGTGGGGTGCTCTATAGCGAGTACAACCCTTCTAGGGTTTGCTATTTGTATCCTCATTCTTGCTAGTGCAATCCTCTTCTTTCTTCTAAACTTTCACATGCTATCAGAGCAGGTCGATCCTCTTGGATCGATCCTGTGGGTGGGCTCACCACATCGTTGCTTCCGCTGCAACTGCTACTGCTACTCTCTGTGCCGCACGCCCCGTGGCGTGCGGCAGCTTGTCTTCCCACCGTGCGCCCCGAGGCGCGCGGCGCCCCGAGGCGCGCGGCGGTTTTCTGCCCGCCGTGCGCCCCGAGGCGCGCGACGGGTTTCTGCCCCGTCACTCGGCGCGTCGCCCCCGAGAGGCGCTGCGACGGGCGACGGGGACCCGCGCGTCGCCCCCCGTTGTCGCTCCTATCGGCCCCGAACCGCCGCCAGCGGCCCCGTCGCCGCCACTTGCGGCCCCGGCCCCGCCCCGGTCATGCCTCGTCGCCAGCCGCGGCGCACCGGGGGCACGTGCACCCCCCCCCCGTTTTCCCGTCGCCCGTCGCGGCTCCTTCGGGGGCCGCACCTGGGGGGTGGCGGGTGTGTGGTCTCCCCTGCTCCTCCTCCTCCTCTGTCTCCCACTGCTGCAGCTGCCGCTGAGGGGGGTGGGTGTGTGGGAGTCGACGGAGTGGTGCTAGGGGGTGGGGTGTGAGTAACCCTAGGGGTGCAGTAGGGGTGTGAGTTACCCTATGGGTGCAGTAGGGGGTGTGTGAAATGGGGGTGGGATAGTTTGGGGAGGTTGAAGGGGGTGGCCGCCGAGAAGCCAGCAGCTCCAGTCGCCCCTGAGACCGTTGCGCCAGTCGCCCGTGAGCCCGTTGCGCCAGTCGCCCGTGAGCCCGTTTCTCCAGTCGCCCGTGAGTCCGTTGCTCGTTTGCCACTACTTTTAGCCGCGGAGCCAGTTACTCCAGTAGCCCGTGTGCCAGTTGCTCCAGTTGCCAGTGTGCCAGTTGCTCTAGTTGCCCGTGTGCCAGTTGCTCCAGTTGCGCCGTGTGCCAGCAGCTTCAGCTGCCGCCCACTACCTCCTCTCCTCTCATAGTCCCTCCTCCTCCACACTAGCCCTCTGCGATAGCCTCTAGCTTTGCTCATAATTGTGAACTTTAAACTATTGCTTCTTGAACTTGTGCTCAGAATGTGTGGTGACATTGTGATCCACCCTGAGCTTGTACTGCTTTGCTTGCTCTGCTGATTACACCCCACTTTAGCTATGGGGGTGTGTCAGAATATTATGCTCTAGCCTTTAGTGGGGTGCTCTATAGCGAGTACAACCCTTCTAGGGTTTGCTATTTGTATCCTCATTCTTGCTAGTGCAATCCTCTTCTTTCATTCTAAACTTTCACACCCTCTTATCCGACAGGGACCCCAAGTTTACTAGCAAGTTCTGGAAAGAGCTCATGTCGCTCATGGGGACACGCCTAGCAATGTCATCTGCATATCATCCCTAGAATGATGGGCAGACAGAGCGCTTGAACCAAATTGTGGAACAACTCTTGCGCGCAGCGTGCAAGGACGACATTAACAAGTGGAACTTGCACTTGCCGGTGTTGGAGTTCGCCTACAATAATGCAAAGCATGCCGCAACAGGAGAGACCCCATTCTTCCTCTGTTACGGTCGAAATCCGCTAACTCCTCAACAGTCGACAGTACCTGCAACTGTCCAACCCGCGCACGACTTCGTTGCCACAATGCAGCAGCTTTGGGAACGGACACACAAGCGTCTACAAGACATACACTCTTCACAGAAACGCTTGGCCGATCGCCATCGACGTGATCATACCATTGCAGTTGGTGACCATGTGCTTCTCGACACATGCAACCTCAACCTCGGTCACCTTCCATCCAAGTTACGACCTCCCTTCTGCGGACCTTTCCTCGTAGAAGAGCAGGTCACTCCAGTCACATTCCGCTTGCGCCTACCAGCTACTTGGAAGATTCATAACGCCTTCCACGTGCAGCTTCTTAATCCCTGTCGAGATCCAAATAAGCTGTACACAGGATGCCAACCTCCGCCGCCGCCTCCAGTCCTCGTGAATGATGAACTTGAGTACGAGGTTGAATCTGTGCTTGCACATCGACGTCGTCAGCATGGCGCCCTGGAGTTTCTCATACGCTTGAAGGGCTATGATCCTTCTGAGGACAGTTGGGTCTCTGAAGAAGACATGAGAAACGCCCGACGTTCTCTCCGCGACTATCTTGTCAAGCAGGGTGTTACATCTACCATCCAGCTTTGAGGGGGGGAAGTGTGAGAGTATGCCGACGTTCGACATATTTCTCATTTCCATATTTTTACTCCATCTTATTCTCCTTATTTTCCTCTTTCATTTGCACTTTATTTCACCTCAATCGGACTACTATTCTATTTTCTAGAGCTTTCTGATTATTTCACTTATTTGGTATTTTCGGCACCGACATTTACATTATACGGCACCGACAGTGGTGTACAAGGCGTAATCTCGCCATAATCCGAAGTGCCAATGGGCTTGCGTGCTTATGCGCACTTGTGATTATCTATTCCAGAAGAGCGCGTTCCCGAAGGTTCGGATTATCTGTTGTTTCTATGTGTTTCCAAGTATAAATACGCCTTGTACTCACCTTTAGTGCAACATTCTTGAGTGGAAATTCGATCCTGTGACAAAGACCATGTATAGTTTGAGGCGGTGAGCGGTATGGAGGGGTGTAAAGGAGACCAAAGGCCAGGGGGCCACTCACAGGTGGAAATAGCTGTTGCAAAAGTGACGACAGCGGCGTCTGCTGCTGCTGCTACACCAGCTCGTGACGCTCAACTCATGCGGCTACTGCTACTCCAGCTCCAGCCTCTCCTTTGCCAACCTCTCCTTCTCACGCTCAAGCCGGCAAAGAGCCTGGTGACGCATCGGGTAACAGTGGGGAGGCGGAGTAGGCGCCTCAGTAGTAGTGCCCCCAGCTCCAGCACCCTCAGAATTAGCACCTCTAGTGCATGTACCTCCAGCACTAGCATCCCCAAAAGTAGTGCCTATACCCTCAGCTCCAGCATCCCTAGATGTAACACCACCAATGCGTAAAACCTTAGCTCCAGCACCCCCAAAACCAGCAACTCCAGTGCCAGCAACTCTAGCTCCAGCACCCCTAAAACTACCACCTACAGTGCCAGCAAACCCGGCTCCAACACCCTCAAAACCAACACCTCCAGCGCACGTGCCTCCAGCACCGACAACCCCAGAGTCCACTATAACCTGTCGCAGTAGTGGTGACGGCTGTTGAGGTGACTGAGAGGACACCCAACATACCATCGACAGGAGAGGTGTGGCGTGAGACACACCTGACGGGGCAGGAACCGGTGGGGCGAGGGTGTACCGGAGGAGCTGGAGCAAGAGGAGTGGGAGTTAGAAAGAGGGGAGGGAGGGGAAACGAGAGACATCGGACGAAGAAGCGGACTTAGTAGAATGCAGACTTGTCGAATCGGACATCACGGGAGTCGAGGAACGGGCGGAGGGGCGGGTGGTAAAGGTCAAAGTCAGGGGCATCCACCAAGAAAGCAAGGAAGACACAGGGAAAGGTGAGAACCGAGAGCTTGTCCGCAAAGGTATTGCGGAAATACGCAAGGCAGCCCCAGACATAAAACTTTGACGCAACACCAGGGGACCTGGTCCAAAGACTGGCCGGTGAAGCCTCTGGCCGTGAGACATGAGGCCAAAGGTTCAACTGGTGGGCGGCGTCGCGAAGGGCCACAAAAAATGGGGCACACGAGCATGAATTATGGCCAATCTCCATGACCAAGCCAGCGCAACGCTCAGCAACCCCATTCTGCTGCAGGGACTCCGGAAGCGTTTAGGACTGAGTGATGCCCTGCTCGTTACAAAACCCGGCAAGTACGTTGGAGCAAAACTCGACCCCATGGTCGGAGTAGGGACTCAGGACCTGAATACCATGCGTGGCACTAGTGGCGAACAACCAACGGATCAGGGTTGAAGCCACGCGTGGTAATATCGCGCCATGTGTTCGACGTATGGCGGAACCGACACTCGAGCCATGAAAGATTTTGAATCATCGCGTGGATCTGACGGCTATAGGACGAGGTACTTGCTTCGTTGGAAGGATCGCACAGGCAAGGACGACACGTACGTTGCCGCTGACGCACTACAGGAACACCTGGTTCTACAGGCTTACTTGACTCGCCGGGGTGTTCCGGATATTCACCACCTTTCTTAAGGGGGTGGGTAGTGTAAGGAAATTTCTCTAATTCCTTATTGTGTCACACTGTACGCGTACAACTCCAACTTTCGCGTTGCTGATGACCTCGCCCTCCGAACCACCATCGCGTTGCCTTCAGGTTTCCCAACCCCGAACCTGCACCCGACCACTCGCGACCCCTCAACCACAACCTAGCTAGCCTTTGCTATATTACGGTAGGCTTCATTTATTTGAATCATGTGCACTCTTTTTCATTACAAATCATAACATGCCATGTGGAACTCAGGCTTTAACAACAAATGTGTAACAATACTCCCTCCACTCTGCCCCTCACCTACTTGTTGCCTCACCTCGCCGCCTCTGCTCAGCCTCCGAGGCATTGTTTTTATGGCTTATCTACTTCCAGGTAGATAAGGCCGTGTCGTCTCCCCTCGGCGTATTATCTAGTTCTGCTCTTGGTGTGCATCCTCTCCTCCTCGCCCTCTCGCCGTTTGCCTCCTCTCAGCATCCTCGCCGCGTCGCCTCCTCGTTTACTCCCTCGTCGCCTCCTCGCTGCCTCGCCGCCTCGCCTCCTCGTCGCGGCGCCTCCCCTCCGCCTCCACGCCACGTCGCCTCCTCTCCGCCTCCTAAACCCCAAAGTGACGGAATTTGGAAGGCGCGAGGGAGGATCCAGATTCCTAGGAAGAGCCCTGGCGAACAGGGCCTACATATTCCACGCCTCTGCTGCTTCTTCCCTTGCTGCCCGCCAACCAGAGTTTCCGATCGTCGGCGCGTATAGCCATGGATCTTCACGCGGGGATGAAGCGAAAATTATCGCAAATTAGCAAGGTCAAGCCGAAAGCAGACAACGGGCAGAGCGCGGAGCTGGCTAATAACGCGGACGACCCGAGCCGGAGGTTCTTTCACAGCGACGACTCGCCGCGCGAAGCTGCTGGCGGAAGGCCTGCCGCAGGCTCCGCGGTCGTCCTGAAATCCGCGCTGAAAGGCGGAAAAGGGGGCGAGAAAGGGGGGAAGGAAGCTGCGGGGAAGGGTAAGGGGAAGGCGGTAGGTTTTGCGGACGCGGATGAGGGGGAGGAGGGCGGAGAGGCGGAGCTGAGAACGGGCGGAAGAGAGGTGCGCCTGCCAACTGTTGCGGAGGGCGCTGGCTCAGATTCCGCGGAACCAGGTGGGGGAGCAGAAGGGGAGGAGCATGGGGGAGGCGGAGAGGGCGCGGGCGGTGGAGGAGGTGCGGGGGAGCAAGCGGGAGGTGGGGCGGGTGGGGAAGCGGGTGGGGGGATGGGGCGGGAGGAGGAGGAGGAGGAGCAGGTGGGACTAGACTTGGACTTGACACGAGTGCCGGCCATGAGCCCTGCTGCCATGCAGTGAGTCCATTCTTGACACGAGTGCCGGCCATGAGCCCTGCTGCCATGCAGTGAGTCCATTCTTGACACGAGTGCCGGCCATGAGCCCTGCTGCCATGCAGTGAGTCCATTCTTGACACGAGTGCCGGCCATGAGCCCTGCTGCCATGCAGTGAGTCCATTCTTGACACGAGTGCCGGCCATGAGCCCTGCTGCCATGCAGTGAGTCCATTCTTGACACGAGTGCCGGCCATGAGCCCTGCTGCCATGCAGTGAGTCCATTCTTGACACGAGTGCCGGCCATGAGCCCTGCTGCCATGCAGTGAGTCCATTCTTGACACGAGTGCCGGCCATGAGCCCTGCTGCCATGCAGTGAGTCCATTCTTGACACGAGTGCCGGCCATGAGCCCTGCTGCCATGCAGTGAGTCCATTCTTGACACGAGTGCCGGCCATGAGCCCTGCTGCCATGCAGTGAGTCCATTCTTGACACGAGTGCCGGCCATGAGCCCTGCTGCCATGCAGTGAGTCCATTCTTGACACGAGTGCCGGCCATGAGCCCTGCTGCCATGCAGTGAGTCCATTCTTGACACGAGTGCCGGCCATGAGCCCTGCTGCCATGCAGTGAGTCCATTCTTGACACGAGTGCCGGCCATGAGCCCTGCTGCCATGCAGTGAGTCCATTCTTGACACGAGTGCCGGCCATGAGCCCTGCTGCCATGCAGTGAGTCCATTCTTGACACGAGTGCCGGCCATGAGCCCTGCTGCCATGCAGTGAGTCCATTCTTGAGACGCGTCCACACAAGTGACGCCGTGTGTGAGCCTCACTGCCATTCAGTGAGTCGTATTGTAACACGTCTCAAAGAACATGCCAACCGGCTATGAGCCCAGCTGCCACGCATGCAGTGAGTGGTGCGATGCAGTGAGCGCTTGCGTGCTCAACTAGACTTGATACGCTCCACTCCAGCCGTCCCCTCCCCACTCCTACTCCTCATGCCCTCTTCAGGGGGCTGCTGCCTCCCTTCTCTTCACACCAAGAGAGACTTTGCAGGCTGGTGTGTGAACAGTGCATGACAGCATTCATGATATTCTTTCCACCCCCACTCCACCCGTCCCCACGCCACACATACCGTCCATGTCCGTGGCAGGGAGCTGCTGGATCGCTTCACACCCGAGCAGATGAACCGTTACGAGGCGTATCGACGGTCAGGATTCAAGCAGGCCAGTATGCGACGGGTATGGCTCAGCGTCTTTCCTCCTCCTTGTGCTAGCGTTCCCTTCCACGCCGCTTTGGTCCTTCTTTTGTATCTTCTCTTTATTCACTCACGTTACCACCTGCTGAGCTGTTCCCTGTGCCCCTTGGCTTGTTATGCCCTTAGCTCTCCTGGTTGCGTCCTACCTAGTCCCTCAAGGTACACCTGTCTTCAAGGTTTAACACTCTCAGTTCCTTGCTTTTCCCATGATTTCCGATCCTGTGCGTTTGACCGCGTGCCCTGCCACACACCCTCTTGACACTTCAGATAATTCACCCTCTCCCTACCCACCCCACCCCACCTCACTCCATCGCACCTCACTTTACCGAACTCCACCGCATTGCACCGCGTGTGCAGCTGGTGCACGGGGTGGCGGGAGCCACAGTGAGTCCGCAGCTGGGCATCGTGATGTCGGGCGTGGCGAAGCTCATGGTGGGCGAGCTCGTCGAGACGGGTGAGCTCGTCGAGACGGGTGAGCCGAAGGTGGCAGGGTGGTGGAGGGTGGTGGGAGGGCGAAAGGGGTGTTGCAAGCTTGGTAAGCGAGCTCGTGGCCGGGTGAGGTGAGGTGGCGCGGTGGTGGGAGGTCAACAGGCGTTGTTGGTGGAAAGAGGTGGAGTGAGGGAAGTGTGTATGTGAGTTTGTGTGTGCGAGGGAAAGTGCGTGCAGCGCTGGGAAGCGAGACACACATGTGGGTGGGGAGCGAGACACACACACATGTGGGTGGGGAGTGCATTGGGCATACATGTGGGTGGGGAGTGCATTGGGCATACATGTGGGTGGGGAGTGCATTGGGCATACATGTGGGTGGGGAGTGCATTGGGCATACATGTGGGTGGGGAGTGCATTGGGCATACATGTGGGTGGGGAGTGCATAGGGCATGGGGGGGAAGGCGGCACTAGCAATGCTGCTGGTGGGGGGTGGGAGGATGGGGATGGGGAGGCTGGTGGAGAGTAGTGGGGGCATGGAAGAGGTCAGTGAAACAGGGGCAGGGGGGAGTTGATTTGTGAGCAGCTTGGAGTTCTGCTGTGTCTCTTTTCCCTTACCCGCCCATCCTCCCCTTCCCTTTCCATACAAACCCATCATCTCATCCCCATTCACTGCTCTCATCTTTCTCCATCCATCATCCCTCCACCTGCCTACCCTCCATTTCAACAGCCCGCCTCGTGATGGGTGAGAGGGCCGATGAGGGGCCGATCAGGCCCACGCACATCCGCGAGGCGTATCGACGGCTCAAGATGGAGAAGAGGGTGCCTGTTCGATCTCGACCACCGCTTTTCCGGTGACGCCATATTCCGGCAGCAGATAGGGGCTTTCAGCAGCGTGCGTTGCTGCAGTGGGCACAATGCAATACGGTACAAGCACGGGGGAGATGGAGCCTGGAACAGTGTGGTGTGGTGTACAGTTGTGAGCGCGGAACCAAGGTTGTACGATTCTGCCTCTTGACAGTGCAACGGCATACGTGTACCACTGCTGCTGCAGGGGCTGCAGGGGCTGCAGGCTGCAGGAACCTTCACCTTGAGCAAGGCTCCAGCTACCATGTATCGCATGTTCCCTGGGGTGGTAATGGCGCCACTGATCTCAGCAATGGAAATACACTCTGCTAGACTGCTATGTGAGAGATGTGAACAAGTTGTTGGAGAATCAGATCTGGGAACGCACAAGCTCAGAGTGCTCAGACAACATTAAAAACAGCTCTTTGAAAAGCCTCTTGATTAATAAATCATAAGTACGGTAGTTTTTCTCAACCACCAGATGCCTTGCTTTTGAGACCTCAGATCAGCCGCAGGGCTCACACACAACCGCCGGGACTGCCCGTCGTGGCTGTTCTGTCTCAACTCGACTCGACTCGACGCTAACAAAAGCGCTTCCCAACCAACTGTCTCAAAGCAAGCGGCAGGGCTCACTCATGCCTGCCCGGGCTCCCTGTGCCTCGCTGCTTTGCCTCTGGCAGGAATGCTTTCAAACCCACGGTCGGCCTTTTTCGAGGGGCCCACCCCACCCCAGAATGAGGCGCAGGGCTCACGCGCGCTGAGGCTTCCGGTGCCGGGCAGCCTTGCCTCCCACAGGCGTGCTCTCGAACCGACTGCTGCTCTCCCCCTCCCCTCGCCTCTGCTGCTGTATGCCCTGAGATGCACCCTGCCCTTTGCTGCTGCTGCTGTGGCCGTTGAGTTGGGTTGGAGGATGGGGAAGTGGGTGAGCGGGTGATGGAGTGGTGGTGGACGGCTTGGGTGATGGGAGGGTGGCAGGAGCGAGTGGGATGCACCTGGAGTGCGGGAGGGAAGAGTGAGAAGAGGGATGAGAGATGAGGGATGGGAGAGAGGAGGGATGAGTGAGGGGAGTGAGTTAGGAAGATGAGTGAATGGGGGCATAGATGATGTGTAATGAGTGAAAGGGGGCATAGATGAGGTGGAATGAGTGAGGCAGGATGAGACGTATGGCGGAGAGGTATGAGGGAGTGGAGAAAAAGGTGGGGAGCGGAAAGAGGAGGGGAATATGTGAGCAAGCACCAGGTGGTAAGCAAGTGGTCAGCACGACGATGTTGCAACATGACATGTGGACATGTGGGGAGGTCCCTCGTGAGGTACGTGCATGCAGCTGTGTGGGTGGCAAACCAAGTGAGGGGAATTCGCCAATAGGGGGTCAGAAAGGAGAGGACAGGGAGAAGAGAGGGCAGGCGAAAAAAGGGGGAGGACTGACAGCAGGGAGTGGAAGAGGGTGGAGAGCGGTGCAGTGGGGTCCCAAGGCGAGCCTGAAATGACCTCCCATGCGCTGTGGGCCATCTGGAGAGGGGAGGAGGGACGCCGAGGAAGAGGAGGGGAAGAAAGATAGTGGAGGGAGAAGGTTGAAAAAAATACATGAGCCTTCAAAAACTTGGGGTAGTGGTGAAGCTTGCGCTACCATGACCACACCATGTAGGGTGTTTGGCCCGCAGACTTTGCTAGTGTGAGTGGAAGTGGAAGGTAACGTAGACGAATCTGGGTTCCCTCTTATAACTCCTGGATCCGTTAACTCGTCTTCCTCATTTTACAATGTGCCTTTCCTCTCATTTTTTCTCGTCAGCGTTCCTCTCTCTCAAGCACAATTTTCCACTTAATAGAAAAAAACAGACAGGGAACAAACGGGGAACAAATGAGGTTGGGGGATCGGAGGATGAGCAGAGGGGAGTGGACTAAAGCGGGGAGAAGGGCACGATAGCAGCACCGTAGCACCGCAAGAGGCGACGAGCACACAGCAAAGCGAAAAAAATGACGATGGAATGTCATGACAAGAGAGAAAATAGTGTCCGCGCAGGCAACGAGCACACAGCAAAGGGAAAAAAGTGACGATGGCATGTCATGACAAGAGAGAAAAGAACCGGGCAGGCAACGAGCGTACGAGGAGGGAGGCGATGGCAGCAAAGGCAGCCTGGGAGGTGCAGCAGGCAGCCCAGTGGACGGCTAGAGTGTAGCCCACTGCCATTATGCATGCCGAGCGGGAGAGCCTGTGAGGGGGGAGGAGTGGGAGGAGATGGGGGGGATACGAGGTGATTTAGAGGTGCCTCAACACTTGTCTCATCTCATGGCAGCAGGCACCCCACTGCACCGCCACCGTGCAGCCCAGTGCACCGCCACCGTGCAGCCCAGTGCACGGCCACCGTGCAGCCCAGTGCACGGCCACCGTGCAGCCCAGTGCACGGCCACCGTGCAGCCCAGTGCACGGCCACCGTACAGCCCAGTGCACGTCCACCGTGCAGCCCAGTGCACGGCCACCGTGCAGCCCAGTGCACGGCCACCGTGCAGCCCAGTGCACGGCCACCGTGCAGCCCAGTGCACGGCCACCGTGCAGCCCAGTGCACGGCCACCGTGCAGCCCAGTGCACGGCCACCGTGCAGCCCAGTGCACGGCCACCGTGCAGCCCAGTGCACGGCCACCGTGCAGCCCAGTGCACGGCCACCGTGCAGCCCAGTGCACGGCCACCGTGCAGCCCAGTTCACGGCCACCGTGCAGCCCAGTGCACGGCCACCGTGCAGCCCAGTGCACGGCCACCGTGCAGCCCAGTGCACGGCCACCGTGCAGCCCAGTGCACGGCCACCGTGCAGCCCAGTGCACGGCCACGGTGCAGCCCAGTGCACGGCCACCGTGCAGCCCAGTGCACGGCCACCGTGCAGCCCAGTGCACGGCCACCGTGCAGCCCAGTGCACGGCCACCGTGCAGCCCAGTGCACGGCCACCGTGCAGCCCAGTGCACGGCCACCGTGCAGCCCAGTGCACGGCCACGGTGCACTGGGCTGCACGGTGGCTGCACAGTAGTAGCGCATGGCTGCAGCCAGTGGGCAGTAGTAGCGCATGGCTGCAGCCAGTGGGCAGTAGTAGCGCATGGCTGCAGCCAGTGGGCAGTAGTAGCGCATGGCTGCAGCCAGTGGGCAGTAGTAGCGCATGGCTGCAGCCAGTGGGCAGTAGTAGCGCATGGCTGCAGCCAGTGGGCAGTAGTAGCGCATGGCTGCAGCCAGTGGGCAGTAGTAGCGCATGGCTGCAGCCAGTGGGCAGTAGTAGCGCATGGCTGCAGCCAGTGGGCAGTAGTAGCGCATGGCTGCAGCCAGTGGGCAGTAGTAGCGCATGGCTGCAGCCAGTGGGCAGTAGTAGCGCATGGCTGCAGCCAGAGGGCAGTAGTAGCGCATGGCTGCAGCCAGTGGGCAGTAGTAGCGCATGGCTGCAGCCAGTGGGCAGTAGTAGCGCATGGCTGCAGCCAGTGGGCAGTAGTAGCGCATGGCTGCAGCCAGTGGGCAGTAGTAGCGCATGGCTGCAGCCAGTGGGCAGTAGTAGCGCATGGCTGCAGCCAGTGGGCAGTAGTAGCGCATGGCTGCAGCCAGTGGGCAGTAGTAGCGCATGGCTGCAGCCAGTGGGCAGTAGTAGCGCATGGCTGCAGCCAGTGGGCAGTAGTAGCGCATGGCTGCAGCCAGTGGGCAGTAGTAGCGCATGGCTGCAGCCAGTGGGCAGTAGTAGCGCATGGCTGCAGCCAGTGGGCAGTAGTAGCGCATGGCTGCAGCCAGTGGGCAGTAGTAGCGCATGGCTGCAGCCAGTGGGCAGTAGTAGCGCATGGCTGCAGCCAGTGGGCAGTAGTAGCGCATGGCTGCAGCCAGTGGGCAGTAGTAGCGCATGGCTGCAGCCAGTGGGCAGTAGTAGCGCATGGCTGCAGCCAGTGGGCAGTAGTAGCGCATGGCTGCAGCCAGTGGGCAGTAGTAGCGCATGGCTGCAGCCAGTGGGCAGTAGTAGCGCATGGCTGCAGCCAGTGGGCAGTAGTAGCGCATGGCTGCAGCCAGTGGGCAGTAGTAGCGCATGGCTGCAGCCAGTGGGCAGTAGTAGCGCATGGCTGCAGCCAGTGGGCAGTAGTAGCGCATGGCTGCAGCCAGTGGGCAGTAGTAGCGCATGGCTGCAGCCAGTGGGCAGTAGTAGCGCATGGCTGCAGACAGCATGAGGCGTGGCAGGCATGCAGGCACAGCGCGGATCTATGTCTACAAGCTTGTATCTAGAATTCTAAAAGAAACTAGAGTCATGCACGAGCGATCAACTACCTTGTTCAAGGCTTGGTTGCAGAGACACACCAGGAAGGGTAGAGCAGCTCAGAGCGCGAGGGAGGTGATGCAGTGAGGAGGGCGAGAACGAGGTCCAAGATGAGGCGGCCCCCACAGCCTGGCGATGGGGGAGAGTGGCGTGGGGAGAGGGCGAGGGGAGAGGGCGAGGGGTAGGGAGGGATGCACACACGAGCCACAGCACACACGAGCCACAGCACACACGAGCCACAGCACAGCGTGACGCAAGGCGAGAGCGTGATGAGGTGAGGAGGGGAGTGAGGAGGGCGAGAAGGAGGTTTAGAACGAGGCGACCCCCACAGCCTGGTCATGGAGGAGGGTGGCGCGGGGAGGGAAACACAAAAAGGGAGGGTGGAGGGGAGCACAAAGAGTGATGGTGGTTTGGGGAAGGAAACACAAGGGTACAGGTGGGGGGGGGGAGGGTGCTGTACCTGCGAGAGTACCAATGAAGACTGGAGCAACCAGTGCATGCTTCCCAAACAGCCCAACTGCCCTGTCAATCTGCACCCCCGGGCAAGAGCGACGAGAGAGAGTGGAGGGGTTGAGTCACAGGTGAGATGGGGGAGGGGAGAAGGGGAGGGAGACTGAAGAGGGAGCACATGGCAGGTGGCAGCAGCACATGGCAGGTGGCAGCAGCACATGGCAGGTGGCAGCAGCACATGGCAGGTGGCAGCAGCACATGGCAGCACATGGGAGGGGGCAGCAGCACATGGCAGGTGGCAGCAGCACATGGCAGGTGGCAGCAGCACATGGCAGGTGGCAGCAGCACATGGCAGGTGGCAGCAGCACATGGCAGGTGGCAGCAGCACATGGCAGGTGGCAGCAGCACATGGCAGGTGGCAGCAGCACATGGCAGGTGGCAGCAGCACATGGCAGCACATGGGAGGGGGCAGCAGCACATGGGAGGGGGCAGCAGCACATGGCAGGTGGCAGCAGCACATGGCAGGTGGCAGCAGCACATGGCAGGTGGCAGCAGCACATTGCAGGTGGCAGCAGCACATGGCAGGTAGCAGCAGCACATGGCAGGTGGCAGCAGCACATGGCAGGTGGCAGCAGCACATGGCAGGTGGCAGCAGCACATGGCAGGTGGCAGCAGCACATGGCAGGTGGCAGCAGCACATGGCAGGTGGCAGCAGCACATGGCAGGTGGCAGCAGCACATGGCAGGTGGCAGCAGCACATGGCAGCACATGGGAGGGGGCAACAGCACATGGGAGGGGGCAGCAGCACATGGCAGGTGGCAGCAGCACATGGCAGGTGGCAGCAGCACATGGCAGGTGGCAGCAGCACATGGCAGGTGGCAGCAGCACATGGCAGGTGGCAGCAGCACATGGCAGGTGGCAGCAGCACATGGCAGGTGGCAGCAGCACATGGCAGCACATGGGAGGGGGCAGCAGCACATGGGAGGGGGCAGCAGCACATGGCAGGTGGCAGCAGCACATGGCAGGTGGCAGCAGCACATGGCAGGTGGCAGCAGCACATGGCAGGTGGCAGCAGCACATTGCAGGTGGCAGCAGCACATGGCAGGTGGCAGCAGCACATGGCAGGTGGCAGCAGCACATGGCAGGTGGCAGCAGCACATGGCAGGTGGCAGCAGCACATGGCAGGTGGCAGCAGCACATGGCAGGTGGCAGCAGCACATGGCAGCACATGGGAGGGGGCAGCAGCACATGGGAGGGGGCAGCAGCACATGGCAGGTGGCAGCAGCACATGGCAGGTGGCAGCAGCACATGGCAGGTGGCAGCAGCACATGGCAGGTGGCAGCAGCACATGGCAGGTGGCAGCAGCACATGGCAGCACATGGGAGGGGGCAGCAGCACATGGGAGGGGGCAGCAGCACATGGCAGGTGGCAGCAGCACATGGCAGGTGGCAGCAGCACATGGCAGGTGGCAGCAGCACATGGCAGGTGGCAGCAGCACATTGCAGGTGGCAGCAGCACATGGCAGGTAGCAGCAGCACATGGCAGGTGGCAGCAGCACATGGCAGGTGGCAGCAGCACATGGCAGGTGGCAGCAGCACATGGCAGGTGGCAGCAGCACATGGCAGGTGGCAGCAGCACATGGCAGGTGGCAGCAGCACATTGCAGGTGGCAGCAGCACATGGCAGGTAGCAGCAGCACATGGCAGGTGGCAGCAGCACATGGCAGGTGGCAGCAGCACATGGCAGGTGGCAGCAGCACATGGCAGGTGGCAGCAGCACATGGCAGGTGGCAGCAGCACATGGCAGGTGGCAGCAGCACATGGCAGCACATGGGAGGGGGCAGCAGCACATGGGAGGGGGCAGCAGCACATGGCAGGTGGCAGCAGCACATGGCAGGTGGCAGCAGCACATGGCAGGTCGCAGCAGCACATTGCAGGTGGCAGCAGCACATGGCAGGTAGCAGCAGCACATGGCAGGTGGCAGCAGCACATGGCAGGTGGCAGCAGCACATGGCAGGTGGCAGCAGCACATGGCAGGTGGCAGCAGCACATGGCAGGTGGCAGCAGCACATGGCAGGTGGCAGCAGCACATGGCAGGTGGCAGCAGCACATGGCAGCACATGGGAGGGGGCAGCAGCACATGGCAGGTGGCAGCAGCACATGGCAGGTGGCAGCAGCACATGGCAGGTGGCAGCAGCACATTGCAGGTGGCAGCAGCACATGGCAGGTAGCAGCAGCACATGGCAGGTGGCAGCAGCACATGGCAGGTGGCAGCAGCACATGGCAGGTGGCAGCAGCACATGGCAGATGGCAGCAGCACATGGCAGGTGGCAGCAGCACATGGCAGGTGGCAGCAGCACATGGCAGGTGGCAGCAGCACATGGCAGGTGGCAGCAGCACATGGCAGGTGGCAGCAGCACATGGCAGGTAGCAGCAGCACATGGCAGGTGGCAGCAGCACATGGGAGGGGGCAGCAGCACATGGGAGGGGGCAGCAGCACATGGGAGGGGGCAGCAGCACATGGCAGGTGGCAGCAGCACATGGCAGGTGGCAGCAGCACATGGCAGGTGGCAGCAGCACATTGCAGGTGGCAGCAGCACATGGCAGGTAGCAGCAGCACATGGCAGGTGGCAGCAGCACATGGCAGGTGGCAGCAGCACATGGCAGGTGGCAGCAGCACATGGCAGGTGGCAGCAGCACATGGCAGGTGGCAGCAGCACATGGCAGGTGGCAGCAGCACATGGCAGGTGGCAGCAGCACATGGCAGGTGGCAGCAGCACATGGCAGGTAGCAGCAGCACATGGCAGGTGGCAGCAGCACATTGCAGGTGGCAGCAGTACATGGCAGGTAGCAGCAGCACATGGCAGGTGGCAGCAGCACATGGCAGGTGGCAGCAGCACATGGCAGGTGGCAGCAGCACATTGCAGGTGGCAGCAGCACATGGCAGGTAGCAGCAGCACATGGCAGGTGGCAGCAGCACATGGCAGGTGGCAGCAGCACATGGCAGGTGGCAGCAGCACATGGCAGGTGGCAGCAGCACATGGCAGGTGGCAGCAGCACATGGCAGGTGGCAGCAGCACATGGCAGCACATGGGAGGGGGCAGCAGCACATGGGAGGGGGCAGCAGCACATGGCAGGTGGCAGCAGCACATGGCAGGTGGCAGCAGCACATGGCAGGTGGCAGCAGCACATGGCAGGTGGCAGCAGCACATGGCAGGTGGCAGCAGCACATGGCAGGTGGCAGCAGCACATGGCAGGTGGCAGCAGCACATGGCAGCACATGGGAGGGGGCAGCAGCACATGGGAGGGGGCAGCAGCACATGGCAGGTGGCAGCAGCACATGGCAGGTGGCAGCAGCACATGGCAGGTGGCAGCAGCACATGGCAGGTGGCAGCAGCACATGGCAGGTGGCAGCAGCACATGGCAGGTAGCAGCAGCACATGGCAGGTGGCAGCAGCACATGGCAGGTGGCAGCAGCACATGGCAGGTGGCAGCAGCACATGGCAGGTGGCAGCAGCACATGGCAGGTGGCAGCAGCACATGGCAGGTGGCAGCAGCACATGGCAGGTGGCAGCAGCACATGGCAGTTGGCAGCAGCACATGGCAGGTAGCTGCAGCACATGGCAGGTGGCAGCAGCACATGGCAGGTGGCAGCAGCACATGGCAGGTGGCAGCAGCACATGGCAGGTGGCAGCAGCACATGGCAGGTGGCAGCAGCACATGGCAGGTGGCAGCAGCACATGGCAGGTGGCAGCAGCACATGGCAGGTAGCAGCAGCACATGGCAGGTGGCAGCAGCACATGGCAGGTGGCAGCAGCACATGGCAGGTGGCAGCAGCACATGGCAGGTGGCAGCAGCACATGGCAGGTGGCAGCAGCACATGGCAGGTGGCAGCAGCACATGGCAGGTATGGCAGCAGCACATGGCAGGTGGCAGCAGCACATGGCAGGTGGCAGCAGCACATGGCAGGTGGCAGCAGCACATGGCAGGTGGCAGCAGCACATGGCAGGTGGCAGCAGCACATGGCAGGTGGCAGCAGCACATGGCAGGTGGCAGCAGCACATGGCAGGTGGCAGCAGCACATGGCAGGTGGCAGCAGCACATGGCAGGTGGCAGCAGCACATTGCAGGTGGCAGCAGCACATGGCAGGTAGCAGCAGCACATGGCAGGTGGCAGCAGCACATGGCAGGTGGCAGCAGCACATGGCAGGTGGCAGCAGCACATGGCAGGTGGCAGCAGCACATGGCAGGTGGCAGCAGCACATGGCAGGTGGCAGCAGCACATGGCAGGTGGCAGCAGCACATGGCAGCACATGGGAGGGGGCAGCAGCACATGGGAGGTGGCAGCAGCACATGGCAGGTGGCAGCAGCACATGGCAGGTGGCAGCAGCACATGGCAGGTGGCAGCAGCACATGGCAGGTGGCAGCAGCACATGCAGGTGGCAGCAGCACATGGCAGGTGGCAGCAGCACATGGCAGGTGGCAGCAGTGGGATTACTCTGGAAATGACGACGCCTGTGCGCGCTATGCTTGCTGCCACCCGCGCTACCAGCTGCAGGCAGGTGGGGGCGAGGGCGGGATGGGAGAGGGCGGGATGGGAGAGGGCGGGATGGGAGAGGGCGGGATGGGAGAGGGCGGGATGGGAGAGGGCGGGATGGGAGAGGGCGGGATGGGAGAGGGCGGGATGGGAGAGGGCGGGATGGGAGAGGGCGGGATGGGAGAGGGCGGGATGGGAGAGGGCGGGATGGGAGAGGGCGGGATGGGAGAGGGCGGGATGGGAGAGGGCAGATGGGGTGAAAGCAGATGGGGTGAAAGCAGATGGGGTGAAAGCAGATGGGGTGAAAGCAGATGGGGTGAAAGCAGATGGGGTGAAAGCAGATGGGGTGAAAGCAGATGGGGTGAAAGCAGATGGGGTGAAAGCAGATGGGGTGAAAGCAGATGGGGTGAAAGCAGATGGGGTGAAAGCAGATGGGGTGAAAGCAGATGGGGTGAAAGCAGATGGGGTGAAAGCAGATGGGGTGAAAGCAGATGGGGTGAAAGCAGATGGGGTGAAAGCAGTCGTGCCATGCATGCATGTGCAAAGCAGGTCAACACTCATGTACCTTGACAGGTCAACACTCATGTACCTTGACAGGTCAACACTCATGTACCTTGACAGGTCAACACTCATGTACCTTGACAGGTCAACACTCATGTACCTTGACAGGTCAACACTCATTTACCTTGACAGGTCAACACTCATGTACCTTGACAGGCGTGAGGGCGTACAGGCGACTCCCCACGTCGTATGGGGAATATGTGATGACCCACCTGCACGCAGGGGGTGAAGAGGAGTTGAATGCGATACGGTGGGGTGACAGTGCGTGTCAAGGATGAAGGGAGAGAGTGAGTGCGTGGCATGGACGGGCGTGGTGTGTATGGCATGGACGGGTGGAGTGTGTGTGGCACGGACGGGTGGAGTGTGTGTGGCATGGATGACACGAGGACGAATGACAAGTCCCATGTCTCCAGGGAACATCCGGAGCCTGGCAGCAACTGCAACGAGCATTGCAGCAGCGTAGCAGCAGAGGAAGAGGAAGAGAGAAGAAAAAAAAGCGTACCAGCAGAGGGCGAAGAGCAGGAGGACGGAGTCGTTGCGGAGCCACACAAAGTGATCCTGCGGTGTGGTGAAGTTTGGGAAGTTTGGGAAAGAATGGTGGAACATGGAAAGGTGCGGAGTGGAGATGGTGCAAGAAGACGGGAAGAAACTGCTTACCTTAGCATCTACAGCTTATTGAACAAGAACGAGCTCCTTCATGCAACTGATGCGAGCAATTACAACACCAATAACCCTCAGCAAGCACATGCAGAGTGAGGCACGCACATGCAGGAGGAGGGAGGTGAGCGTTCCTCCGCCATATCCGGTGAAGAACGCCGCCCAGAAGCACAGCAGCCAATGGCGTCGCAGCAGGGGCATCCGCACAGCTGCTGATGTGGCAAGCGCGTGGCCAACTATGATTAAATCGAAGGGGATGCTCTGAAAGGCCAATCCGGCGTCGTGCAGCTGCTGATGCGTCCTCTCGGCGAGCGTCACAGCCGCCGTGAAATACGGAGAGTCGGAGAGAGGAAGGAGGGAATGACGGAGGGAAACGGGGAGGTCCGTTGGAAGGACGGCGGAGAGCGAGGGACGAATGACGGCATCAAGCAGCCACGAGGAGCTGGCGGGTGCCATCGTGATGAGGAGCGTTAGGTCACGCTGTCATAAATAACGTCACGGGTGCTGCTGAGCTGAAATCGGCTGACCTGGTAGTATGTAGGTAGCAAAAAGTAGTTTAACTACGACTTAACCGCGCTTCCTCACGTGGTCACGCATAATAATTATTCGTAAGCCTAGAAAGTATCACCTAGTAAATAGGAAAGATAGTCTTACTGGAATGGTCACAAAAATGGCGCTGCGGATAGTATGATCATAAGAATGGTCGACCTGAGGACGCGTTCACGGGGTCCCGTTTAGTCCGGTTCGCAATGGCGCTCATGAACTTTTTGCTCCTATAAAATCAGAGAATCCAATCCGATCCAATTGTCCTGCCTGAACGGTCTTCTTATGAAGTCAGCCCCGTCCGACCTTGCACCGCGTGGGGAACGACAGTTTTCGCTAACCTTGGAAGGAGACGAACAAAGGGATAAATTTGGAAATCGCATGTCGCAGCGGGTTACCTCTTCGAGTTGTTCCAATCCCGTTTCTGCGAATGGTACCTCAACAGCAATCTTCCTGTCAGAACTGTAGAGTGACAGATCATTGACACAATCAAAGCAATGACCATTCGCTGCTAGTTTTTTCCACCCACCACCATCACGCATTCCTAGATTTTAGGAGGCTGTCGCCGTATTTGCCATGGCGACGTACTTCTTCGTACAGCTATGGCACGCCACCATCCTCCCGCTCCTCTCATCCTTCCTCCCCTTGGACCTTCTCCTCCCCGGCAAGTCCCTCCTTCCGCCGCTCCTGCACTCCGCAATGCCGCTGCTCGCGCGCGCGCACCAGCAGCTGCACGAAATCGGGGAAGCGTATAGCGCGGTGCCGTACGATCTGATCGTGGCGGGGAAGGCCCTCGCCACGTCGGCGATCGTGAGGGGGGTTCCGGCGGTGCGACGCCATTGGCTGCTGAGCTTCTGGGCGTCGTTCCTATTGGCTTACGGCGACTACTCCCTGCCCTCGCTCGTCTTGCAGGTGCCTTATCCTTCTGCTGCTCGTCTGTCTGCGTGCTTGCATTGTTGGATTTGTTACAATATGTCGTTAGAAAATCGTTATACGACCTCATTACAGGAGCACTTTGTAGTATCCCACTTCAATTCAACTCTTAATACGGGTCACCATTCGTAACGGGTCTCGCTTTAGCGGTACAATTGAGAACCCCAACCAGGAATCGCGTGATGTGTGCTGCTGTCGGGGGAGTCTGGATCTGAATGAGAGTGTCTCTGCTCGCGTTCTGTGAGGTCCACCCGCTGTTGCATGGGTGCGAGAGCATGGGAGCATGGACTTACGCGCATTCCACATGACTTGTCTGGATACCCTACCAGCAGTAAACTGTTGTGCCTATATGCTTCCTCTACACACCTTCCAACAACACAAACCCAGAACCTTCTTCCCCATTCCTCCCCTTTTCTCCCTCCTTCCTCTCCTCTTTCTCTCCCTTTCCCCCCCATTCTCCCCCCTTTCTCCCCACCTCTCCTTAACCCCCTCCTGCTGGCGATTCCCCACAAGCACAGAGCGACGTCGTGTGGCTGAAAAAGGAAATCATTCTGATCACATTCGCTGTCTGCTGGTAACCACGTTGTTTCGCGTGCCCAGCCAGGGACAGGTCCACGAAATATATGTCTGTTCACAACATGCTACAGTGCTGGTGCTTGGTTGTTGACAGTAACCTGTACACGCCATGTGCTGGTACCGGCAGAAACCTGTAGTATTCTAGAATCGTTTTGTAACCATGGTCAGCTGAACACCATGTTGTGGTAACCAGTTGGGTATGACGTGTTGAGAGGTGGTGCCATTGAGCATGCTCTGTCTGGTCTCCCCTTTGTCTCTCCTGTCCAGTGCCTAGAGAGGTGCACCCATTGCATGCTCCTTCACTCCATTGCTCTCTAGTCTCGTTTCCTCCGCAACACTCACACGCCATGCTCCGCCACACATCCAACAGTCAGGCCACGCAACCCATGTTCTGAGTGCGTGTGTGTGTGTGTGTGTGTGTGTGTGTGTGTGTGTGTGTGTGTGTGTGTGTGTGTGTGGGTGCGTGCGTGCGTGCGTGCGTGTGTGGGGAGCAGGTGGTTGATCAGCTACTGTCCGCGTGACATGGGCTACAAGGCGTTCAAGCTCAAGCCCATCAAGGTGACAGGGCAGGCAGCTTGAGTCTTGAAGCATGTGGCTACGCCATGCACCTCCTTGGGTTGTTGGTCATGCATTCCAGGAATTTTTGTGTGAAGGGTGCAACATTCATGGCGGGTGCAACATGCATGACGGGCGCAAGATGCATGGCGGGTGCAAGATGCATGGCGGGCGCAAGATGCATGGCGGGAACAAGATGCATGGCGGGTGCAAGATGCATGGCGGGTACAAGATGCATGGCGGGTGCAAGATGCATGGCGGGTGCAAGATGCATGGCGGGTGCAACATGTATGGCGGGTGCAAGATGCATGGCGGGTGCGAGATGCATGGCGGGCGCAAGATGCATGGCGGGCGCAAGATGCATGGCGGGTGCAAGATGCATGGCGGGCGCAAGATGCATGGCGGGTGCAACATGTATGGCGGGTGCAAGATGCATGGCGGGTGCGAGATGCATGGCGGGTGCGAGATGCATGGCGAGCGCAAGATGCATGGCGGGCGCAAGATGCATGGCGGGCGCAAGATGCATGGCGGGCGCAAGATGCATGGCGGGCGCAAGATGCATGGCGGGCGCAAGATGCATGGCGGGCTCAAGATGCATGGCGGGCGCAAGATGCATGGCGGGCGCAAGATGCATGGCGGGTGCGAGATGCATGGCGGGCGCGAGATGCATGGCGGGCGCCAGATGCATGGCGGGCGCAAGATGCATGGCGGGCCCAAGATGCATGGCGGGCGCAAGTTGCATGGCGGGCGCAAGATGCATGGCGGGCACAAGATGCATGGCGGGTGCGAGATGCATGGCGGGTGCGAGATGCATGGCGGGCGCAAGATGCATGGTGGGCGCAAGATGCATGGCGGGCGCAAGATGCATGGCGGGCGCGAGATGCATGGCGGGTGCGAGATGCATGGCGGGTGCGAGATGCATGGCGGGTGCGAGATGCATGGCGGGCGCAAGATGCATGGCGGGCGCAAGATGCATGGCGGGCGCAAGATGCATGGCGGGCGCAAGATGCATGGCGGGTGCAAGATGCATGGCGGGCGCAAGATGCATGGCGGGCACAAGATGCATGGCGGGTGCGAGATGCATGGCGGGTGCGAGATGCATGGCGGGCGCAAAATGCATGGCGGGCGCAAGATGCATGGCGGGCGCAAGATGCATGGCGGGCGCGAGATGCATGGCGGGCGCGAGATGCATGGCGGGCGCAAGATGTATGGCGGGCGCAAGATGCATGGCGGGTGACAGATGCATGGCGGGCGCAAGATGCATGGCGGGCGCGAGATGCATGGCGGGCGCAAGTTGCATGGCGGGCGCAAGATGCATGGCGGGTGCAAGAAGCATGGCGAGCGCAAGATGCATGGCGGGCGCAAGATGCATGGCGGGCGCAAGATGCATGGCGGGCGCAAGATGCATGGCGGGTGCAAGATGCATGGCGGGTGCAAGATGCATGGCGGGCGCAAGATGCATGGCGGGTGCGAGATGCATGGCGGGTGCGAGATGCATGGCGGGTGCGAGATGCATGGCGGGTGCGAAATGCATGGCGGGTGCGAGATGCATGGCGGGGGCGAGATGCATGGCGGGTGCGAGATGCATGGCGGGTGCGAGATGCGTGGCGGGTGCAAGATGCATGGCGGGCGCAAGATGCATGGCGGGCGCAAGATGCATGGCGGGTGCGAGATGCATGGCGGGTGCAAGATGCATGGCGGGGGCAAGATGCATGGCGGGCGCAAGATGCATGGCGGGTGCGAGATACATGGCAGGCGCAAGATGCATGGCGGGCGCAAGATGCATGGCGGGGGCAAGATGCATGGCGGGTGCGAGATGCATGGCGGGTGCGAGATGCATGGCGGGTGCAAGATGCACGGCGGGTGCGAGATGCATGGCGGGTGCGAGATGCATGGCGGGGGCGAGATGCATGGCGGGTGCGAGATGCATGGAGGGTGCGAGATGCATGGCGGGTGCAAAGATGCATGGCGGGTGCAAGATGCATGGCGGGTGCAAGATGCATGGCGGGCGCGAGATGCATGGCGGGTGCGAGATGCATGGCGGGTGCGAGATGCATGGCGGGTGCGAGATGAATGGCGGGTGCGAGATGCATGGAGGGTGCGAGATGCATGGCGGGGGCGAGACGCATGACGGGTGCGAGATGCATGGCGGGTGCGAGATGCATGGCGGGTGCAAGATGCATGGCGGGCGCAAGATGCATGGCGGGCGCAAGATGCATGGCGGGTGCAAGATGCATGGCAGGTGCGAGATGCATGGCAGGTGCGAGATGCATGCCGGGGGCGAGATGCATGGCGGGCGCAAGATGCATGACGGGCGCAAGATGCATGGCGGGCGCGAGATGCATGGCGGGTGCAAGATGCATGGCGGGCGCAAGATGCATGGCGGGCGCGAGATGCATGGCGGGTGCGTGATGCATGGCGGGTGCAAGATGCATGGCGGGTGCAAGATGCATGGCGGGCGCAAGATGCATGGCGGGTGCAAGATGCATGGCGGGGGCAAGATGCATGGCGGGCGCAAGATGCATGGCGGGCGCAAGATGCATCGCGGGGGCGAGATGCATGGCGGGCGCAAGATGCATGGCGGGCGCAAGATGCATGGCGGGCGCGAGATGCATGGCGGGCGCAAGATGCATGGCGGGCGCAAGATGCATGGCGGGTGCGAGATGCATGGCGGGTGAGAGATGCATGGCGGGTGCGAGATGCATGGCGGGTGCGAGATGCATGGCGGGTGCGAGATGCATGGCGGGTGCTAGATGCATGGCGGGTGCGAGATGCATGGCGGGGGCGAGATGCATGGCGGGGGCGAGATGCATGGCGGGTGCGAGATGCATGGCGGGCGCAAGATGCATGGCGGGCGCAAGTTGCATGGCGGACGCAAGATGCATGGCGGGTGCAAGATGCATGGCGGGTGCAAGATAAGATGCATGGCGGGTGCAAGATGCATGGCGGGTGCGAGATGCATGGCGGGCGCGAGATGCATGGCGGGCGCGAGATGCATGGCGGGCGCGAGATGCATGGCGGGTGCGAGATGCATGGCGGGTGCGAGATGCATGGCGGGTGCGAGATGCATGGCGGGTGCGAGATGCATGGCGGGTGCGAGATGCATGGCGGGGGCGAGATGCATGGCGGGGGCGAGATGCATGGCGGGTGCGAGATGCATGGCGGGTGCGAGATGCATGGCGGGTGCAAGAAGCATGGTGGGAGCAAGGTGCATGGCGGGCGCAAGATGCATCGCGGGCGCAAGATGCATGGCGGGTGCAAGATGCATGGCGGGTGCAAGATGCATGGCGTGTGCAAGATGCATGGCGGGCGCAATATGCATGGCGGGTGCGAGATGCATGGCAGGCGCAAGATGCATGGCGAGCGCAAGATGCATGGCGGGTGCGAGATGCATGGCGGGTGCGAGATGCATGGCGGGTGCAAGATGCATTGCGGGTGCGAGATGCATGGCGGGTGCAAGATGCATGGCGTGTGCAAGATGCATGGCGGGTGCAAGATGCATGGCGGGTGCAAGATGCATGGCGGGTGGGAGATTCATGGCGGGTGCAAGATGCATGGCGGGCGCAAGATGCACGGCGGGCGCAAGATGCATGGCGGGTGCAAGATGCATGGCGGGTGCAAGATGCATGGCGGGCGCGAGATGCATGGCGGGTGCGAGATGCATGGCGGGTGCGAGATGCATGGCGGGTGCGAGATGCATGGCGGGTGCGAGATGCATGGAGGGTGCGAGATGCATGGCGGGGGCGAGACGCATGACGGGTGCGAGATGCATGGCGGGTGCGAGATGCATGGCGGGTGCAAGATGCATGGCGGGCGCAAGATGCATGGCGGGCGCAAGATGCATGGCGGGTGCAAGATGCATGGCAGGTGCGAGATGCATGGCAGGTGCGAGATGCATGCCGGGGGCGAGATGCATGGCGGGCGCAAGATGCATGGCGGGCGCAAGATGCATGGCGGGCGCGAGATGCATGGCGGGTGCAAGATGCATGGCGGGCGCAAGATGCATGGCGGGCGCGAGATGCATGGCGGGTGCGAGATGCATGGCGGGTGCAAGATGCATGGCGGGTGCAAGATGCATGGCGGGTGCAAGATGCATGGCGGGCGCAAGATGCATGGCGGGGGCAAGATGCATGGCGGGCGCAAGATGCATGGCGCGCGCAAGATGCATCGCGGGGGCGAGATGCATGGCGGGCGCAAGATGCATGGCGGGCGCAAGATGCATGGCGGGCGCGAGATGCATGGCGGGCGCAAGATGCATGGCGGGCGCAAGATGCATGGCGGGTGCGAGATGCATGGCGGGTGAGAGATGCATGGCGGGTGCGAGATGCATGGCGGGTGCGAGATGCATGGCGGGTGCGAGATGCATGGCGGGTGCTAGATGCATGGCGGGTGCGAGATGCATGGCGGGGGCGAGATGCATGGCGGGGGCGAGATGCATGGCGGGTGCGAGATGCATGGCGGGCGCAAGATGCATGGCGGGCGCAAGTTGCATGGCGGGCGCAAGATGCATGGCGGGTGCAATAAGCATGGCGAGCGCAAGATGCATGGCGGGCGCAAGATGCATGGCGGGTGCAAGATGCATGGCGGGTGCAAGATGCATGGCGGGTGCAAGATGCATGGCGGGTGCAAGATGCATGGCGGGCGCGAGATGCATGACGGGTGCGAGATGCATGGCGGGTGCGAGATGCATGGCGGGTGCGAGATGCATGGCGGGTGCGAGATGCATGGCGGGTGCGAGATGCATGGCGGGTGCGAGATGCATGGCGGGGGCGAGATGCATAGCGGGGGCGAGATGCATGGCGGGTGCGAGATGCATGGCGGGTGCGAGATGCATGGCGGGTGCAAGAAGCATGGCGGGAGCAAGGTGCATGGCGGGCGCAAGATGCATGGCGGGCGCAAGATGCATGGCGGGTGCAAGATGCATGGCGGGTGCAAGATGCATGGCGTGTGCAAGATGCATGGCGGGCGCAAGATGCATGGCGGGTGCGAGATGCATGGCAGGCGCAAGATGCATGGCGAGCGCAAGATGCATGGCGGGTGCGAGATGCATGGCGGGTGCGAGATGCATGGCGGGTGCAAGATGCATTGCGGGTGCGAGATGCATGGCGGGTGCAAGATGCATGGCGTGTGCAAGATGCATGGCGGGTGCAAGATGCATGGCGGGTGCAAGATGCATGGCGGGTTCGAGATTCATGGCGGGTGCAAGATGCATGGCGGGCGCAAGATGCATGGCGGGTGCAAGATGCATGGCAGGTTCGAGATGCATGGCAGGTGCGAGATGCATGCCGGGGGCGAGATGCATGGCGGGGGCGAGATGCATGGCGGGTGCGAGATGCATGGCGGGTGCGAGATGCATGGCAGGTGCAAGATGCATGGCGGGCGCAAGATGCATGCCGGGTGCGAGATGCATGGCAGGCGCAAGATGCATGGCGGGCGCAAGATGCATGGCGGGTGCGAGATGCATGGCGGGTGCGAGATGCATGGCGGGTGCGAGATGCATGGCGGGGGCGAGATGCATGGCGGGTGCGAGATGCATGGCGGGTGCGAGATGCATGGCGGGTGCAAGATGCATGGTGGGCGCAAGATGCATGGCGGGCGCAAGATGCATGGCGGGTGCAAGATGCATGGCGGGTGCAAGATGCATGGCGGGTGCAAGATGCATGGCGGGCGCAAGATGCATGACGGGTGCGAGATGCATGGCAGGCGCAAGATGCATGGCGGGCGCAAGATGCATGGCGGGGGCAAGATGCATGGCGGGTGCGAGATGCATGGCGGGTGCGAGATGCATGGCGGGTGGGAGATGCATGGCGGGTGCGAGATGCATGGCGGGTGCAAGATGCATGGCGGGTGCAAGATGCATGGCGGGTGCAAGATGCATGGCGGGTGCAAGATGCATGTCGGGCGCAAGATGCATGGCGGGCGCAAGATGCATGGCGGGTGCAAGATGCATGGCGGGTGCGAGATGCATTGCGGGTGCCAGATGCATGGCGGGTGCCAGATGCATGGCGGGCGCAAGATGCATGGCGGGCGCAAGGTGCATGGCGGGCGCGAGATGCATGGCGGAGGCGAGATGCATGGCGGGTGCAAGATGCATGGCGGGTGCAAGATGCATGTCGGGTGCAAGATGCATGGCGGGCGCAAGATGCATGGCGGGCGCAAGATGCATGGCGGGCGCAAGATGCACGGCGGGCGCAAGATGCACGGCGGGCGCAAGATGCATGGCGGGCGCAAGATGCATGGCGGGTGCAAGATGCATGGCGGGTGCGTGATGCATGGCGGGGGCGAGATGCATGGCGGGTGCGAGATGCATGGCGGGCGCAAGATGCATGGCGGGCGCAAGATGCATGGCGGGCGCAAGATGCATGGCGGGTGCAAGATGCATGGCGGGTGTGAGATGCATGGCGGGGGCGAGATGCATGGCGGGTGCGAGATGCATGGCGGGCGCAAGATGCATGGCGGGTGCAAGATGCATGGCGGGTGCAAGATGCATGGCGGGTGCAAGATGCATAGCGGGTGCGAGATGCATGGCGGGTGCGAGATGCATGGCGGGTGCAAGATGCATGGCGGGTGCAAGATGCATGGCGGGTGCAACACATGCATGGCGGGTGCAACACATGCATGGCGGGTGCAACACATGTATGGCGGGTGCAACACATGCATGGCGGGTGCAAAACATGCATGGCGGGTGCAAAACATGCATGGCGGGTGCAACACATGCATGGCGGGTGCAAAACATGCATGGCGGGTGCAACACATGCATGGCGGGCTCAACACATGCATGGCGGGTGCAACACATGCATGGCGGGTGCCAGATGCATGGCGGGTGCCAGATGCATGGCGGGCGCAAGATGCATGGCGTGCGCAAGATGCATGGCGGGCGCGAGATGCATGGCGGAGGCGAGATGCATGGCGGGTGCAAGATGCATGGCGGGTGCAAGATGCATGTCGGGTGCAAGATGCATGGCGGGCGCAAGATGCATGGCGGGCGCAAGATGCATGGCGGGCGCAAGATGCACGGCGGGCGCAAGATGCATGGCGGGCGCAAGATGCATGGCGGGTGCAAGATGCATGGCGGGTGCGTGATGCATGGCGGGGGCGAGATGCATGACGGGTGCGAGATGCATGGCGGGCGCAAGATGCATGGCGGGCGCAAGATGCATGGCGGGCGCAAGATGCATGGCGGGTGCAAGATGCATGGCGGGTGTGAGATGCATGGCGGGGGCGAGATGCATGGCGGGTGCGAGATGCATGGCGGGCGCAAGATGCATGGCGGGCGCAAGATGCATGGCGGGTGCAAGATGCATGGCGGGTGCAAGAAGCATATCGGGTGCGAGATGCATGGCGGGTGCGAGATGCATGGCGGGTGCAAGATGCATGGCGGGTGCAAGATGCATGGCGGGTGCAACACATGCATGGCGGGTGCAACACATGCATGGCGGGTGCAACACATGCATGGCGGGTGCAACATATGCAAGGCCCCATCTCACACTCGCGACCCCTGGTGACTCAAAAGCGACCCCTGGTGACTCAAAAGTGACCCCTGGTGACTCAAAAGTGACCCCTGGTGACTCAAAAGTGACCCCTGGTGACCCATTACACCCATACTCAACCACCTGCAGAGTTCTTCCTCTCTCACCTTTTCTCACGCCTTTAAACCCCTTCTCACCCCTTCTCACGCCTTTAAACCCCTTCTCTCCCCTTCTCACCCCTTCTCATCCCATCTCATCCTTCTCATCCCACCTCTGTCCCCACTCCCCCTTTTCCCTGCGCGCATGTCACCAGGTGCTGTGCAAGGCGGCATCAGGCCTGGCTCGCACCAAAGTCATTCTCTCCATGGTGGGTGCCCTCCGCGCCTCTGCCCTCTGCGCCTTTGCCCTCTGCGCCTCTGCCTTTCCATGTCTGCCCTTCCATGCAATGTGCATGCCCTGTGGCTGTGCCCGCGTCTGGTGCCAAGCACTGCAAGTCATGGGGAGTCTGTTGAGTTCTGCCTGTTTGCTGTTCTGCCTGGACTCTTTGAGGTATTTCAACGAATATGTCTCAAAGAATATCAAGTATCCGTGACTCTGTCCATTCCATTCCATCCTCTCTGTGTGCCTGCTGTATCTCCCCGTCTGTGTGCCTGCTGTATCTCCCCCTCTGTGTGCCTGCTGTATCTCCCCGTCTGTGTGCCTGCTGTATCTCCCCCTCTGTGTGCCTGCTGTATCTCCCCCTCTGTGTGCCTGCTGTATCTCTCCCTCTGTGTGCCTGCTGTTTCTCCCCCTCTGTGTGCCTGCTGTTTCTCCCCCTCTGTGTGCCTGCTGTTTCTCCCCCTCTGTGTGCCTGCTGTATCTCCGCCTCTGTGTGCCTGCTGTATCTCCCCCTCTGTCTGCCTGCTGTATCTCCCCCTCTGTGTGCCTGCTGTATCTCCGCCTCTGTGTGCCTGCTGTATCTCCGCCTCTGTGTGCCTGCTGTATCTCCGCCTCTGTGTGCCTGCTGTATCTCCCCCTCTGTGTGCCTGCTGTTTCTCCCCCTCTGTGTGCCTGCTGTATCTCCCCCTCTGTGTGCCTGCTGTATCTCCGCCTCTGTGTGCCTGCTGTATCTCCGCCTCTGTGTGCCTGCTGTATCTCCCCCTCTGTGTGCCTGCTGTTTCTCCGCCTCTGTGTGCCTGCTGTATCTCCGCCTCTGTGTGCCTGCTGTATCTCCGCCTCTGTGTGCCTGCTGTATCTCCGCCTCTGTGTGCCTGCTGTATCTCCGCCTCTGTGTGCCTGCTGTATCTCCCCCTCTGTGTGCCTGCTGTTTCTCCGCCTCTATGTGCCTGCTGTATCTCCCCCTCTGTGTGCCTGCTGTATCTCCGCCTCTGTGTGCCTGCTGTATCTCCCCCTCTGTGTGCCTGCTGTATCTCCCCCTCTGTGTGCCTGCTGTATCTCCGCCTCTGTGTGCCTGCTGTATCTCCGCCGCTGTGTGCCTGCTGTATCTCCGCCGCTGTGTGCCTGCTGTATCTCCGCCGCTGTGTGCCTGCTGTATCTCCGCCGCTGTGTGCCTGCTGTATCTCCGCCGCTGTGTGCCTGCTGTATCTCCGCCGCTGTGTGCCTGCTGTATCTCCGCCGCTGTGTGCCTGCTGTATCTCCGCCGCTGTGTGCCTGCTGTATCTCCGCCGCTGTGTGCCTGCTGTATCTCCGCCGCTGTGTGCCTGCTGTATCTCCGCCGCTGTGTGCCTGCTGTATCTCCGCCGCTGTGTGCCTGCTGTATCTCCGCCGCTGTGTGCCTGCTGTATCTCCGCCGCTGTGTGCCTGCTGTATCTCCGCCGCTGTGTGCCTGCTGTATCTCCGCCTCTGTGTGCCTGCTGTATCTCCGCCTCTGTGTGCCTGCTGTATCTCCGCCGCTGTGTGCCTGCTGTATCTCCGCCGCTGTGTGCCTGCTGTATCTCCGCCGCTGTGTGCCTGCTGTATCTCCGCCGCTGTGTGCCTGCTGTATCTCCGCCGCTGTGTGCCTGCTGTATCTCCGCCGCTGTGTGCCTGCTGTATCTCCGCCGCTGTGTGCCTGCTGTATCTCCGCCGCTGTGTGCCTGCTGTATCTCCGCCGCTGTGTGCCTGCTGTATCTCCGCCTCTGTGTGCCTGCTGTATCTCCGCCTCTGTGTGCCTGCTGTATCTCCGCCGCTGTGTGCCTGCTGTATCTCCGCCTCTGTGTGCCTGCTGTATCTCCGCCGCTGTGTGCCTGCTGTATCTCCGCCGCTGTGTGCCTGCTGTATCTCCGCCTCTGTGTGCCTGCTGTATCTCCGCCTCTGTGTGCCTGCTGTATCTCCGCCTCTGTGTGCCTGCTGTATCTCCGCCTCTGTGTGCCTGCTGTATCTCCGCCTCTGTGTGCCTGCTGTATCTCCGCCTCTGTGTGCCTGCTGTATCTCCGCTGCTGTGTGCCTGCTGTATCTCCGCCGCTGTGTGCCTGCTGTATCTCCGCCTCTGTGTGCCTGCTGTATCTCCGCCTCTGTGTGCCTGCTGTATCTCCGCCGCTGTGTGCCTGCTGTATCTCCGCCGCTGTGTGCCTGCTGTATCTCCGCCTCTGTGTGCCTGCTGTATCTCCGCCTCTGTGTGCCTGCTGTATCTCCGCCGCTGTGTGCCTGCTGTATCTCCGCCGCTGTGTGCCTGCTGTATCTCCGCCTCTGTGTGCCTGCTGTATCTCCGCCTCTGTGTGCCTGCTGTATCTCCGCCTCTGTGTGCCTGCTGTATCTCCGCCTCTGTGTGCCTGCTGTATCTCCGCCTCTGTGTGCCTGCTGTATCTGCGCCTATGTCTCCTGCTCCCCCTCTGCTTGCCATGTCTCCTGCTCCCCCCAGGTGGATGCAGCAGTACAGCACTTTGGACTGCACGTCACAGTGGCGCCTCTCTTGATCGGCACGCTCTCTGGTGCTCCTTCGCTTGCGCCTTTTCACTCACCGTCTCATGCGTTTGCAATATGTGGGCGTTCCTTGTGCGGGCGTTCCTTGTGCGGGCGTTCCTTGTGCGGGCGTCCACACATGCGTCCATACATGCAGGGAAGGATGCACTGAGGCGTTACCACGATGCTTCAGCACGATGCGTCTGATAATGCAGCCGTGCCATGATGGGCACCTTCAGTAACGGGCAGGTGGGCTGCGGAGGCACCTTCTGGAGCGTGCAACCACGCAGAGCGTGATCTCATAGCGTGATTCGCATCAGAGCGTGATCTCATAGCGTGATTCACATCAGAGAGCGTGATTCACATCAGAGAGCGTGCTGTGCTGTGCAGTCTGCCATGCATCCAACACTCCCACCTCTACTTCTTTCGCATGTCCACATAACATTTTCCTTCTCACCCTGTCACTGTGTGCCATGCTGTGGAGGCGGCCGTATCGACGATGCTGTACCTGCCCACGTCTCCCTCCTGCCCCTCCTCATTTTCCCCTTCACAATCGTCAACCCCATCAATCCCCCGTGCGCCAGGCTGTGGGGGTCGGCTCATATACGACGCAGTGCTAGCCCTCGTCTCTCCCTCCGCTTCCAATCATCCCGAGCTGCTCTACCCCTCATGGTCCGTATCACTCCCCTCGCGGTCCGTATCACTCCCCTCGCGGTCCGTATCACTCCCCTCACGGTCCGTATCACTCCCCTCGCGGTCCGTATCACTCCCCTCACGGTCCGTATCACTCCCCTCACCGTCCGTATCACTCCCCTCACGGTCCGTATCACTCCCCTCACCGTCCGTATCACTCCCTCACGGTCCGTATCACTCCCCTCACGGTCCGTATCACCCACGTCAAGTATGCGAGGTGACTTTTGAGTCGGCTCAAAAGTCATATTGAACCTGCCCGCTACTGCTCGCTAGCCCCAGAACTCTAAGCTGCAATTTCATGCACTGCAGGTACTCGTGTTCGCGCACAGGTGCTGAACATACATGTTTCCCTATCGTAATCAATGAGGTGACTTGTGAATCGACGCATGCACTGCACTGCAGCTCACACATGAGCTGAACACACGCGTGTGTTCCTAACAAAAATCCTCCTCTCCGCCCCCCAAAAGGCTCTCTTATGCTCCTTTCTGCTCACTGCAAACATGGGCAACTAAGTGACTTTCTCACCACAGGTTCACTCGCCCGGCCTGCGTGGTCTCGCTCTTGTACCTGGACGGCCCTCACAGTGCACTGGACAGCAACGCGCTCTCACGTGCTGCTTTTCCTCCTCCCCTCTCCTTTCCATCAACCCCAGGTACTCGCGCTCGGCCTTCCTGGTGACCCTCTTCTACACCTTCACGGTGCATTGGACAGCATGGTGCTCCAGACATGCAGCCTATGAGGCCAGGGGGCATCGCCTCTGCTGTACTCACCTCTACCACATGCCACTCGCACCTGCTGCTGCTCTCCCTCCTCACCTCACCCCCTCTCCAACCCCCCCCAGGTACTCACGCTCGGCCTTCCTGGTGGCGCTCTTCTACACAGTAGCAGTGCACTGGACAGCAGTGTGCTCCAGACATGCTGCCTACGGGGCTATCGCCTCTGCCATGGTCTGTACCGCACTGCACCCTGCTGTCACCTGCCCTCACCTGCCCTCACCTGCCCTCACCTGCCCTGCGCTCACCTGCCTTCACCTGCCTTCACCTGCCTTCACCTGCCCTGCCCTCACCTGCTCTCACCTGCTGTAGCTGCTGGTGCTACTTTGAGCTGCTGCTGCACCCACTGTTTTCCCTGGTGAGTCGTTATTGCATTCATAGCATGACACATCCTTGCCTTCCTGCGTATTCCCTTTCTGCCTCCTGTTCCCTTACACCCTTCTCCTCACCATGCCCTCTCCCTCACGCTTTCCAACTTGCTAAGCTCCTACCCCCCTCCCCCTCAACCTCTTTCCTTCTCCTCATAACATGTTTCACGGTTGTCCCTTCCCCACCCATCGCCCACACCCACCCGTACCACTTCTTACCACCCACCCAACGTCCCTGCCCTCCTCATCCACCCAACGTCCCTGCCCTCCTCATCCACCCAACGTCCCTGCCCTCCTCATCCACCCAACGTCCCTGCCCTCCTCATCCACCCAACGTCCCTGCCCTCCTCATCCACCCAACGTCCCTGCCCTCCTCATCCAGCCGCCTTCACTGCCCCCCGCCCTGTTCGACCTTCCAGGTAGCCCACAGTGCGTGGGAGGTCGTGACTGACTCGCATCTGGACCCCTCTGCACCGCTCTTCAACCTTCTGCACACCATGCTGTGAGTCATTGAACTCGTTCTTACCTCCCTGCTCTCTTGCGTATCTCCCTGACTGCAATCGTTTGCCTGAGTGCATTCCCCATGCAGGCTGTAAGTGTTTGGTATACGTGCCACATGCATTACACACGCCCACCACCACATGTGCTGCCCACTTCCCTTGGAACACCAGCAACCGCATCTGTGTAACACCGTTCTCCCGAACCGAAACCCCTCTCCCTCGCTCCATCTCTCCCTCACTCCTCCTCTCCCTCATCCCTCGTCCCCCACTCCAGGTGCATCCCTCCCCCGCCCCCCACCCACGCATCACCCCACCAAGCTCCTGGCTCTCAGGCCAAGCCTCAGACCCCCGCCTCTACCACCACCAGCAGCAGCAGCAGCAGCAGCACAGCAGCAGCTGACGCCAGCAGGCCAGCCCCTGGCAGCAGCAGCACGGCCACCACCACCACGGGCAGCAGCAGCAGCGCAGCATTGTCACAGCCCAGCAGCAGGAGCGAGCAGGGAGCAGTGCGGCGCACCAAGAACAAGAAGACGTAGCTTCCTGTGGGGACGTGAGGTGGGATGGTGTGAGGCGGGGTGGGTGCGGTGGTATGTGATGGGGTGGTGTGAGGTGGGGTGGTGTGAGGTGCGGTGGTGCCCAGTGTGGAGGCATATGGTGAGGGTGACACTTGGGTCGTCTCGTACTTGGCATGTGACTTGAAATGTGGCGTTCAGTAGAGGAAGGCGGGGAAAAGGAGGATAGAGGAGAGGAGGGAGGAGGGCAAAAGGGGAGCAGCAGTCCTTCCGCATCACCTGACAGTAGCTGCGGATTCACCTGACTGGTTTGGAGACCTATTTATTGATGCCCTCGTGCTGCTCACACCAGCCCTGCGAGGGGTGGTTGGTGGACACAATAGTTATTCTTACTCATTCTTTCAGGGGGCTTTTGAGTCGACTCAAAAGTCGCCTCCTCATCCTCACGGTAGTCTTCATAGCGGTCCCTCCAGTGGCTGCTCGCCATGCAAGGGCTCCCAGAATAGCTTCGCGAGGCCCAGGCGTGTGGGTGGAGGCGCATCGGACATCTGACAGCTGTGGTGTTACACTGAATATCGGACATGCATCCGACAACTGTGGTGCTGCGCTGTGCTGCACTGCAGCCTTGCGACGGTTCTTAGTGTGGCAGTGGTCTGCTGGTGCGCTGACCGCTGATGCTTGGGGGCGACCAGCGACATGCATGGTGACATGCATGGTGACATGCATGATTAGGGAGGATTACCCTGGGCATAGGGTCATGTGATGTGAGGCACTTGTGTGATGTGCTATGCACGATGACTACCGTATCCGCCCGGATATAAGACAGTGTTGAATAGTAGACAAGGGTTGTCTATTATACGGGTGTCTCTTATAAACAGGCTAGCGTCATTATAAGACACCTATTTGTGTGTACGAGATAAGACATATGTGTCTTATAATCGAAACTGCAATATATTTTAGTGAAAATTGAAATACCGCGTACATTTTTACCCTTGCGACACGCGAATTCTGCCACGCGCTGACTCACGTACTACCAAATTTGCCTCTGCAAGTATTCTCCATGACGTAGCGTCCCGAACAATGGTTGCCGAAGTGACACCTTCGCAACATCCATACTCATAATGAGAAACTCTTTTCACGATGTGTACAAATATTTCTAAGAATTTTAAAAAAGTTTCCATTTATAAGACTTATAAGACACCCAAAACCTCCCCAAATACAAGATAACCCAAGCATTTTTTTTAGTGTACGAGATAAGACATATATGTCTTATATCCGGGCGATGACGGTACCGTATTGTAGTGTACTGTACCACTGTGTTGCCACCGCACAAGAGCTTGCGTTGCGTACGTGGTTGTCGGATGAGCCTGTGCTGTTGGAGCACCGTGTCTTGGTCATCCTTCTGAGCGCTGAGACAAGCATGAGTAATATTGCAACTACAGCGTGCATTCATCTCATGGCTTCAGTGCTGTGGGCTGGCATACACAAACTCAGATGATGCCTACGTACTACCCAACCCTACTCAAGGGAAACAAGTGATGCGCTGAAGACGCCGCCAGGAAAGCGCCCAGAGTCATCGTAGCCCTGTGTGCTGCCCCCCAGTGCAACCCTCTCCAGGCAGCAGCTGCTGTGACACTCTCGCTTGACACACTAATCACAGCACGAGCACTCCCCCCCCTCCCACACTCTTCCACGTGCCCCTGGTGCAACGAGCTTTCAAGCCGTCCTGTCCTGTGCCTGTCCATCAATAAGCCATCCCAACGGCGCAGTCATGGCTATTGTACAAGGAAACCATATGCAGCAATAATCCAATTATTGAACTAGAAGTTGTTGTTAAGCCGAGAGGACCATATGGACTCGTGCCGAGAGGACCATATGGACTCGCGCACCTGGCTGACGCCACCAGCTTCTTCCCTCGTCACGCGTCACACATCCCGGCTGGGAGGGGCCCTGTGCCCGCCGAAGAAGCTGCCAGGAAGGCACTTGCGGTCGAAGGGCCCTGGGAAGACCTTTTTGCCTTGAGCCTCCTCCCATGATGTGAACTCCCTGAACCTGATGGGCGGCTTGCCGAATATGTGCAGGAACTGCAGGCGCTTCTTGCCGCTGTTCACCAGCTGGAAGAGAGGGGGAGGGGAAGCAATATGCAAGTTGAGATGCGATAGGCAAATGAGGGAGGCCCGAGTGGGGGAAGCGGGAAAGCGCCCCGGTGCGCCTGGTGAACAGTGTTGCGGGGAGTGATCAGATCAGGGTGAAATTGGCGAAAAGGGCTGCGAACGCTGCGACCTGTTCCATCCAACTAACACACCCCTTGATTGATTCAGTAGAAAATGCCCTCGAACAGATGATTTGCTACCTGCCCAATGGTGCACCCTTTCCAGGAATCTTCAATGTCCAGTTCTAGCCTGCTACAACCTGTTTCGCCTCGTTGCCGTACCTGGTGAACGGTGTTGCGCGGAATGATGACGGTGGAGTTGGCATGGAAGGGCGTGGAGGCGAAGGGTGCCGGCGACACCTGGTCTGTGCTGTTGGGACGGAAGCGCAGCGCACCCTCCCCTTTCAGCACCACCACCACTGTGTCCTGCAGGGGGGGAAGGGGAGGGAGGAGGGGCAGGGGGTGCGTCTCAAGAAAAGGAGCAGGTGACATGACACCAGGTCGGTGCTCTTGGGACGGTAGCGCACCGCGCCCTCCCCCTTCAGCACCACCACCACTGTGTCCTGAGGTGAGGGGAAAGCAGAGGGGGTGCAGGGGGGAAGAGGGGGACGATGGGGGACAAGTGAGAGACGTAGTGACAGGCGGTGGAAGCGCAGCGCAGCGCAGCCTCGCCCCTCAGCACCACCACCACCACTGTGTCCAGGAGGGAAGCAGAGGGGAGAATAAGGGTGGATAAAGGATGACAAGTGGCAGAAAATGATTGGTGAATGAGTGACAGGCAGTGGAGGGGACAGAGCGACCTCCTGTCCTGACCCAGCAGCAGCAGCAGCACCGCCATCACCACCACCACCACCACCACCACCACCACCACCACCACCACCACCACCACCACCACCACCACCACCACCACCACCACCACCACCACCACCACCACCACCACCACCACCACCACCACCACCACCACCACCACCACCACCACCACCACCACCACCACCACCACCACGGTGTGTTGCTGAGAATTCTCAAAGGCGTGGCAGGGAGGGAGAGGGAGAGCAAAGCATGGGGTGTGGGGAACGAGATGGCAGGAGAGGTGGGGATACGGGCGAACAGAGGACGATCACGAGCGTAGACAGCATCTGTTTCTGAAAGTTATCGGACCAAGTTGCACTCTTGATGTGACTGCCTGTGCACGTACTGCTGTGGCAGATACTGCTGTGGCAGATACTGCTGTGGCAGATACTGCTGTGGCAGATACTGCTGTGGCAGATACTGCTGTGGCAGATACTGCTGTGGCAGATACTGCGTGGCTGCCACGCGTTGGCCAGGCCAGCTGGCCAGTGTGCAACTCGGTGGGCTGCCAACGCACCTGCTCCTGCCCAGACCCACACGCCAACGTTGGTGGCATAGCCCAGGGCGAACGTTGGTGGCATAGCCCGGGGCGAACGTCTGAAGCCACACCTCCACGCCCTCACACAGTGACCACCGCTTTCCTCTCCCTTGCCCCTCACCTGCTGCTGCACTGCCTGCTCTCCCCTGCACCTTTTGAGTCGACTCAAAAGCACTGCCTGCTCTCCTCTGCACCTTTTGAGTCGACTCAAAAGCACTGCCTGCTCTCCCCTGCACCTTTTGAGTCGACTCAAAAGCACTGCCTGCTCTCCCCTGCACCGCCTCTCCCTCAGTCGCCCTCACCCCTTTCCCCCCCACTCACCTGCTCCTGCGAGCGCACGTTGGTGGCGTAGCCCGGGGCGAAGTTCTGCAGCCACACCTCCACGCCCTTGTTGCCGTGATGCACGGCGCCCGATAATGTCACATGCACCAACCCCTCGAACCCGAAGTTCTCTGGTGGGAGGGGACGAGAGGACGAGGAACAAGAGGAGGAGGGGAGGAGCGGACGAGGGGAGGAATGAGGGACCTGCAGAGCACGACTAGAGCTACCTCCGCGCCCTTGTTGCCTTGCCCTGATGGATGGCGCCTGACAGCGTCACATGCACCAACCCATCCGAGTCCAAAGTTTATCTGGCGCCAGCAGTGGCACGGAGATGGGTTGGCGCGGCGTAGAGGGGGCGTGTTGGAATGAGGCGTTTGTACGACTCGATTCAAGCCTCATCGCTTCAAGCTGTGATGCCCTGCCTCTCTGCTGTGGTACGGATGGTTAAATCTCTGAACTTACCCTGGTAGAGCTTGTTGATCTTCTGCACCACGGGTCGCTCCGTGAAGCACATGGGCTGCGCGTCCGCGCGCCGGGGAGCACAGGCGAGCGCGACCGCGACGACACACACCAGCGCGCGCGCGAGCGCGCGGGGTCTGTCGGCGTAATCTGACGGCCGCGGCTCCATTACTATCCAGCTAATCAATCGGCCGGCTAACCGCGGAAATTCGAGCGGTATTAAATATCTCAGTGAGCTCTAGAGATGGCCGGGGGAAGGGAGAAAGGCGAAGGACGCAGGGTCGGCGGGGAATGGCGGGGGTAACGGCAGTCGGTATCCTCGAGGCCCTCGTGATTGGGCTTGGATGGAATTCAACTAGTGTTTTTGGTGGGTCACGGCTTTGGGTAGGAACTGGAATTTCTGTGCGTCCCTACTGCTTTCGTGCGGTGCAGTTCGGTTTCTACGGTTTTCGAGAAAGGGTATGCAAGATACAGAGGGAAGCATTGCGGTTCCTCCTGTTTGCACCCAGACTTGAGTTGCCACCCAGACCACTCGATATCAGCGCGCAACTCTGGAAACTTCGGATTCGTTTGGATGGATCGCCACGCAAACGTTCAAATTCTAATCAAAGCTGATACAAAAAATTGAGAGCACAATTTATCATACCACTATCCTCAAAGACGGCTCCCATCCCATTAATTAGTGTAATTACTCTTTTTTACTCAGATTCGAACTCTAGTCGGTGCAAAACCACCCCATTTCTAGCAGCTGCATTTCTTCCCCACCTACCCAGTCGTGGCTCCTGCGGACATAATAGAATGTGTGTGCATGTGCATGTGCCATACGGGATAATGGGAGTGAGCAAGAGCAATGATAGCATGACGCCAAAGAATGAAAGAGAGGGAAAGTGGGGATAACACATAAACATAAATAGACAGGGAGCGGATGAGAGACGATGAACAACAAGCACAACGCTCAGTGCGAGTGAGAAAATCAATCCTAGCAAAATGCAAGCGATTTTGAGGTGACTAACCTGGCCAATGCCTGAGATGACGAAATCCGATCGATGAGCAAATGCAATAGAGTTAACAAAGCCAACCTGGAAGGAAGGGCACAGGTAGAGTGAGTGGTGGAGGTAGAGGGTTGTAACAGAGCTTGAGCAAAAGAACAACAGTTGAATGTCTTGAGGCCACAAACAGCAGATCATGGATTCAGATGAGTGATAGTGGGAAAAAACAGTGAGAAAGGCGAGGGACGGGTGTGGTTTAGGACAAGAGGGAAAGAAAAGGGAGAAACGTGGGAAGGGTTGAAGTGAGGAACAGGGGTGAGGGGTGGACGTGAGGTGGTATTGCCGGTCCAGCCAGCCAATGCACCGCACCGCACCGTTGGAAGTGATCCCACGGGGCGCAGCCGGTTCGCTGACGTGTCGCAATGCCACAGCCTGAGAATGCCGTCGCCCGCCCCGCTGGCTGCCAGGTCAGAGCCGGGCGCCACGGCAACAGCCCCCACCCACGACTGCACTGCACTCGCTGCTGCTGCCGGTGCTGAGACAGACGGAGCAGCAGCAGCAGCAGCAGCAGCAGCAGCAGCGGCGGCGGAGGCAAATGGTGCAGCGTCAGGGGCTGCATCTGCTGGTTGTTGGGCAGCAACGCCGTTGGGCAGGCCATTTTGAGCGGCATCAGCAGCAGCAGACGTGGCAGGTGTACCAGCAGCAGCAGCAGTGGTGGTGGTGCCATGCGCTGCCCGCACGACATGCACGGGCTTCTTCTTGAGGGCGGACCAGAGCGACAGCGACCCGTCGTCACCCCCCGTGATGAACGCGGAGGGCGAGAGGAAGGCGCACGAGTCGAGACAGGAAGGGGCCGGTGCTCTGAACACCAGCTGTGTCTCCTCGGGTACCTGGCATGAGATGGATGGGGAGAGGGGGAGAAGGGGGGAGGAGGAGATGGGGGGGAGGAGGAGATGGGGGGGGAGGAGGAGATGGGGGGGGAGGGGGAGATGGGGGGGAGGGAGAGATGGGGGGGGAGGGGGAGATGGGGGGGGAGGGGGAGACGCCAGTGATGAAGGTAAAGGACAAGCGGAAGGCACACGAGTCCGGACAGGAGGGCGCCGGCGCTCGGAAAACCAGGTGCGTTTCTTCATGTACCTGTGGTGGGATTGGAGAGAGAGAGAGGAGGAGGAGGAGGCAAAGGGGGAACAGCTGGTGTTGAAGGCGGACGGAGGAGACGAAGGGGCATGAGTGAGTCCAGGCACAAGGGCGCTGGCGCTCGCAACACCAGCTGCGCCTCCTCGGGTACCTGCCATGGGATGGCCGGGGGAGAGGAGGGGAAGGAGGGGAAGCAGGCAATGAGAAGTGCAAAAGGGGGCGGCATGAAGGAGCAGGCGCACCCCACAGCACCTGGGCATCCCTCAGTGCCTTGCCTGCCCTTGCCTGCCATTGGGTGCTTAGTGCAGTTGGAAGAACACAAGGGCAGCTCAAGAGAGCAGAAGCAGTGAGAGCGGGGCACAATGTGGCCTCCGAGTCCCACGGCTCCCAACCCCACTTGCCCCCCACTCCCCCTGCACACCCCTTCCACGGCCTGCATCAGATAGCACCTCCCCCGGGCATGGCCCACCAACATGCACCTTCCATAGCCGGCAGATGCAGACTATCGCCACGAACACCACCCTGTGCACCAGCTGCCTCAGCGTCTGCCGCACCTCCCCCAGGCATACCTCCCCCCCAACCACATGAACCTTCAAAAGCTGGCAGGTATGGTCACTCACCACAGAGACCGCCAAACAGCACCTGTCTCACCAGATACCACCTCCCCCAAGCATTGCCCCCCAAACGCACCTTCCAAAGCCTGCAAGGACAGTCCCTGGCAACAGACACGACACGAACCTCTGCGGCTGCCTGAGCGCCTGCAGCGCACTATCCCCCCCTGGTGTGCTGTGCACATACCCCCCACCCCTTCCCCACCCACACGAACCTTCCAGAGCCGGCAGGTAAGGTCCCTGGTCTGCGGCTGCCTGAGCGCCTGTTTTACCAGAAAGCACCTCACCTCCTCCAGGAATACACCCGTTCTCCTTCTTCCCACCCACACGCACCTTCCAGAGCCTGCAGGTACGGTCCCTCGCCACAGAGACGACCCTCTGTGGCTGCCTGAGCGCCTGTAGCGCCACTATCTCCGCCTGGTGGCCGAACAGCGAATCCATGTACGCCACATCAGCGCAGCTCCACAGCTTGATGCTGCGGTCGGCGGACGCGGAGAAAAGGTCGAGCGATGCCGGCCGGAAGGCGAGAGACATGACCGCCCCCCTGTGGCCCGCAAACGACTGGCGCAGGGGAAGGAGAGAGGGGGGAGCGCGGGTGGGGAGTGGTGAGAAAGGGGGGGAAGGGGGGTGGGGGGAAGAGGAAAGGAGACAGGGGAGGTGGAAAGAGTGAGAGGGTGAGGAAGGAAAGCAATATGACTGCTCCCTTGTGGTCGCACACGAAGGGTCTTCCAAGTTCCCAAGCCCAACTCAAAGGTTCCTAGCCCCAAACCCTGAACCCCGAGCCTTGCCCCTCACCTTAACGTGCGCTGTGCTCCATGTGTTCCACAGGCGCACCATGCGGCGGCAGCCCCGGCCGTTGAGTTCTCATGTACCTACCTCTAACCATAATCCCTAAACCCCACACAAAAGCCCCCACCTGCCGCTGACCTTGACGTGCATGTGGTGCCACAGCTGCCCCACGGGATCTTACCCCCTCTCTCCCACCACTGAGTACTCATGCGTCCTGGAACATAATCTGCCGTGACCTTGTCACTTGACTCGCTGTCACACCAAACATAAGCCCCCACCCTTAAACCCCATCCCCTGCCCCTCACCTTGACGTGCGCGCGCGTGCGCGCGTCCCACAGGTGCACCATGCGGTCGAGCCCCCCCGCCGCCAGGTACCGCCCGTCGTCGCTCACACTCACGCTCAGCACGTGCCGGCTGCTCTTCCCCCCCTTCCCCTTCCCTTTATTCCACCCTCCGCCTCCGCCTCCACCACCTGCCCCCGCGCCCCCATCCGACCGGGAGTTGGGGTTTGAGTTTTCGGGCCAGGGAAACTTAAAGCTGGTTCCCGACTCGACGTCCCAGCCCACTATTAGCCCGTCTTTTGACACCGCGAAGCCCGTTCTGTCGTCCAATGAGAGCGCGACACCTGTCACCGACTGCTTATGTCTGCGTCCCACTGTTTGCCCTGGCGATGCTGACGTAGACGGGATGAACCGGGTTGCGATTCGCCGGATCACCCTGCCGCTCTCTTCTAACGCATCTTGCTTTAATCGGGCAGCTATTATCGCGTCCTGCTCCTCCCTTAAACCCTCGTCCCCTTCCTCCTCCCCCTCCTCGTCTCCATCCCCTTCCTCCGCCTCCTCCTCATCTTCGCTCTCCCCTTCCCCGCTTCTATCCTCCGCCTCTTCCGCCTCTTCGTCCGCCTTCTCCCGCGCGGCCAGCGCCGCTGCTCGCTTCACTTCCGTCAGGTACGACCGCGCAATGCGCAGGCGCTTCGCCTCCGCGCTCTCCGCCAAGCGCGCATTCTCCCCCTCCCCGTCCGATCCGATCTCCGCGTCCTCTTCCGCCGCCTCCTCCGCCCGCGCGAAAAACGACTCTTCCCGCTCCCCGTCGTCAATTAACTCGTTCCGAGGTCTTTTCCGCCCGGCTCCTCCTCCCCCCGCGCGACCCCTTCCGCCTTTGCCCCGCCCGCCACCGCCTCCTGCTCTCCCCCCACGTCCCCGCCCACGGTCACCGCCGCGGGCACGATACATCCTGCCTCCGCGATTCGCGGGGACGAATCGCAGCACTCTTTTGTTTCAGACGCGGACTCACGAATCGGGCAAAAAAAATTGGCCAAGGTCTGCCTGTAACGACACTAGCCCCGCGACGACAGCGGCAGCAGTCGAACAGGATGACCAAGTCACAAAACTCGGCTTTGGGTCTTGGGGACGGAAGGAGGTGGTCTGGCGGGGTTCGCGGGTGTTGGGTTCGCTATTGCGAAAAACTCGGATCTCACCGAATAGCCACGCGAGCCTGATAATTTAAACATAAACTGCATCATTAAAAAAAAAAAACACTTTCAGATTTTCTCATGTTTGGCCCATTGCTAGCGCTTGAAAGAATAGTAAGTGTTCTAGAATGCGCAACCCCCTGAGAAGACAGCCCAAAGCTTCCAATACATTGAATGGGCACTCTGTCTAACCACCCAAAAAGAAGTGTATCCGAAGCATGGAAATCTACTGTAGAAAACATGAATATACAGTCCAATGCAACGATGACAAGGGATAAAAAGAAAAGAAAATAATCACACACTGAAAAAAGAGCCTTTCTATACTCTTATCCCACCTCACATCTCATTCCTGTGACCGTACTACAATCCAAACTAGTAGGTCCACTCACAGCTCAATGCCTTCCACCCCAACCTATTCAGCACCCCACGACGCAGTACTGGCCATTCTCGGAGGGCCAGTCGCATGCACGCGGGGCAGCAGCATAGTCAGGCTCACGGGGAGACCACCACAGCAGTCCCACCTCAGCACCACCCAACCTTTCATTGCCTGACTCCTCAGCACCCCACGACGCAGTACTGGCTGTTACCCGAGGGCCAGGTGCAGGCGGGCGGGCCAGCAGCATAGTCAGGCACGCGGGGGACGACCACCGCAGTACCACCAAAGAAGCACGTTCCAGGCTGGTGGTTGTGACGGTAGAAATATGCATTGAAGGCGTGAGACGCATGCTGTACCAGCGCACCATCTCCCTGCCAGCACGCCCCTCCCGGCAGTATGGGAGAGCAGTCCACCCCGCCCGGCCCACACGCCCAGTCCAGCGCCCTCTGCACCGCCCCCATGTCTGCCGCGCAGCCACCCCTACCGCCTCCGCCCGGCGCCACGACACCTCTGGGGGGGTAATCCGGCTCGGGGGAGTATTGGGGGTATACGGGGTGAACGAGGCCCGGAGGGGGAGAGTAGGGGTCAGGGATCTCCTGGCAGGCAGCAACGCAGAACTGGCCGTTGGACGACGGGAAGGTGCAGGCGGCCGGGCCGGCAGCGTAGTCGGGCACATGTGGAACCACCACGGCATTGCCTCCGAAGAAGCAGGAGCCGGGGCGGTGCGCGTGGGAGTGGAAGATGGAGTTGAAGGCCACTGACGCGTGCAGGGCGAGGTTGCCCGGCTGGAAGCACGCCCCGCCCGGCTGGATGGAGGAGCAGTCGGCGCCGCCGGGCCCACACGCCCAGTTGAGTGCGTTGAGGAGTGAGCCTGGGGCCACGCCGCAGCGCAGGTGGTGAGCGGTGGTGGGAGGAGGAGTGGTGGTGGGAGGAGGGATTGTGGGAGGGGTGGTAGTGGGGGGAGGGGTGGTTGTGGGGGGAGGGGTGGTGGGAGGAGTGGTGGGAGGAGTGGTGGTGGGGGGAGGGGTGGTTGTGGGGGGAGGGGTGGTTGTGGGGGGAGGGGTGGTTGGAGGAGTGGTGGAGGGGGGAGGGGTGGTAGGAGGAGTGGTAGTGGGGGGAGGGGTGGTGGGAGGTGTGGTGGTAGGAGGAGGGGCGCTTGGAGGAGCGTTTGTGGGAGGAGGTGTGGTGGGTGGGAGGACCGGGGGGATCGGGACGCCATCAGCAGGGGGGTCGACAGGAGTGGCATCATCTGCATCACCGTCAGCAGCTCCACCACCGGCACCACCATCATCGGCATCACCGTCAGCAGCACCACCACCACTGGCATCACCATCATCGGCATCACCGTCAGCAGCACCACCACCACCGGCACCACCATCATTGGCATCACCGTCAGCAGCATCACCACCATCCTCAGCATCACCAACATCATCGGCATCACCATCAGCAGCTCCGCCACCACTGGCACCACCATCATCGGCATCAGCATCATCATATGATTCATTCCCTGCTGCTGGGTCCGGAGGGCTCACTGCCCCTCCACTGCTGCCACCACTACCGGTGCTGCCACCACTACCGGTGCTGCCACCACTACCGGTGCTGCCGGTGCTACCGGTGCCACCACTGCCGCCACTGCCGCCACCTGGAGTGGCAACCACTCCTCCACCAGAGCTGCTGGAACTCCCACCTCCGCTCCCAGACGCTCCCCCCGCACCCTGTCCCTGTGCCTGCCCCTGTCCTGCCGGTGCAATCAGGGTGCTGTGCTTCGCTGCCCTTGCCACTGGCACGGCCACCGTACCTGTTCCCACGGCTCGGGTTGGTTTGGCTCGAGCTGGCTTGGCTCGTGCCGTACCAGCGTGCTGGTTTGCTGCCACGTGGGCAGAGGGACGGGGTTTGCCGTTGTGGTGGCCAGGCGTGGCATGGGCCGAACCGCCGTGGTAGTTTCCCGGACGCTTCACCAGCTTGGCTTGAGAGCCCGAGCCTCGAGCCCCGGCTTGGCGTTTGACCGGCTTGGCTCGGGTACCTTGGTTCGGAGGAACAGGCGTGGGACGTGCCATGGCGCGTGGCGGGCGGCGAGTAGCAGCAGTGCGAGGGACCATGGGCTTGAGTGCGGCAGTGCTGTCGGCACTGTCAGCAGTGTAATAGTCGCCGCCACTGGGATAAAGCGAGTCCTCTGCATCGGAAGGTTCAGCGAAATACTCGTCACCTCCACTCCCATAGTCGTTACTCCCGTAGTCGTCACTCCCGTAGTCGCCCTCCCATGTGCTGTTGCCATCGCTGCTGCTATCATCCCAACCTCCCATACCATCGTCCCAGCCTCCCTCCGAGCTGTCGTCCCAACCTCCGTCCGAACCATCGTCCCAGCCATCCTCCGAGCCTTCCCCCGAGCCTACATCCCAGCTTCCTTCGGAACCATCATCCCAGACTCCACCCGAGCCGTCATCCCAGCCTGCATCCGAGCCGTCGTACCAGTTCGAGCCCGAAAAATCTTCCCAAAATTCATCCGAACCATCTTCCCAACCTCCATCTGACCCGTCAACCGACTCTCCTTCCGAACCTCCTTCCAAGCCACCATCCCAGCCTCCTTCGAAGCCGCCGTCCGAGCCATATTCCGAGCCTCCCATCCTGCCGTTTTGCTCATCTATGGCGTCCAGCATCGGCCAATCACCGCCTGCGCTCTCCTCACTCACCGAACCACCGTCCGAACCTGATCCTGAGTCAGTGTATCCCGCCAAAATCCCTCCCGGGGGGCCTCCCATCTTCGCGTTTTGCTCCGCTATAGAGTCCAACATCGGGTTACTGTATCGAACCACACTGTGCTGTCGAGGCGCCCGACTACCGTGGCGGCCATGACGCGGACGGCCGAGCCGCTGCATGCTGTCGTAGGCCGGACCGGCGCTGGAGGAGGCGCGAGGAACCTCTTCGAGAATTTCCACCTCGTCGCCGTCTCGGTCAGTCCCATCGAATACTTTCACTTTCTGCCCCGTGCTACGGTCAAACTTGATAGTACCACCATCGCTGTCCGCTAGAAGCTCGCGCGGACGGAACCTCGGCCCTCCGCCGAGCCTTGCCTCATGACCGGGCCTGCGGACGAGCCTCGGTGCGTGGCTCGTAACGAGCATCCTGGCTCGCGAGTTCCGGACTCGGCGAGTTTCTGGGCGCGGCAGCCGCCTGCGCGCGAAGCGGACGACTTGGATGGGCGGAGTGGTGGCGGAAGGGGGGGAAGGCGGAGGCGGAAGATCGGGGCTCGAGGCCGCGCGGAGATGGTGCTGGTGCGCGATGGTTGGGCGCAGCTGGTGGCTCGTGCGGTGCTGAATGCTGTGCCTGCGCGCCGCGCGCGCCCGAATGGGTTCGCCGCGCCGCCCTGTAGTGTAGTACTGGCTCGGGAAGAACCTTCCGCGACCTGCGGCGGACTGGAGAGCGCATGCGACGAGCAGGAGGACGACCGCGACCCGTGCGGACGCCATGATGACGACTAACCTAGCAGAGCAGTGCCCTAGTGAGACGTACACTAACAACGGTTGCGAGCCTTTCTTTGTCCCTCGTGAAGAAACGCTATGGCACTCGGCAGAAGGTTCTGTGCTTTCTGCTCCGCGTGCAATCCACAGGTGATCCCTTTGAAAGAGGCTGCTTCTAATGTGCTCTACGTTCGCCCTTGCTTACTCTAAAGAGGTAATGGATTCAGAAAGCCAAGCCTCGGGTTTTGAATTGTGGGTGCCAAGAGGGATGAGGGGGAAGAGGTAGACAAGCAGCAGCAAGAAACCCCATGCATTGCTGGCAGTCAGTCGAGCCAATTTCGCCTCGCAACGACTCCAGCGCAGCAAATGTCGAATTCACTCCTCGTTCTTTGGTATCCGCGAAACAGCGCATTTCATTGCCTTGGTGGAATTCGCTGCGATACGTAACAACGAGGCCGTGGAGTCGCCAGCACCACCTCTGACTGCTCTCAACTTTCGCTGGACTCGGCAGGAACGGGGTTCGCGAAAACAGAGCTGCCACGTGTAAGTATATCCCCTTATGCGACTGCTTGACGAGTACCAGGTGCCACGACTTCGCAGGACTGACTGCGCCAGGCGAACGAACCAGGGGAAGCCTGAGGGAAATCTGAGACTTGACCGCAGCGACTGGGCTGGCCAGTGCTGGGCTCTTCGGCGCTGACGTGGTACAGCGGGTCAACCGCCCTTCATATCCGCGATGTGAAATCCAGCACGGAAAGGAAAAGCACCTATAATTCGTTCAGATACATTTTGTAACTTTGTGAAATGACGGTAAGAAATAGAAAAAACATTCTGTACATACTAGTGTTTTCATAGATTCACTACGGAATAAAGGATACGATATTGAATTGATCCTCAAGTATAATGCTGCAACTATGGTATGTGAAGGTTACAGAAGGTTAAGTGAGACACCATAGGTCTCACACATTCACATCACACGTCAACGTTGAACTCCAAACAATTCCACGTACAGCACTAGCGTGCAGCCACGTCATTTCAACCCACGAGACACCCTCCACACGATCCTTCTATCGAGTACAGATTTCTCCTGCAACGTCCCCCACCGCCTCCCTTTCTCGTTTGGATAAACCTCTGATACTCATTTCGCGCATGATTGATCTAGAATCTCCCGGTTGCATGTCCCATAGTGATCTGTCCTGCAGCTACATGGTGATTTGTCTGAAATACTAGCGCAAGCTGTCTGCTGTTTCTCTTCAGATATTATTAGAGCAGCCTGCTTCTCGTTTCAATTGCAGCAACCCTAGATATTACCAATCTGTTTGGATTACCGCTGACGTCCAGTGATCTCGCCGTCCCAGTCATGGCGTCAGCATTGACTCACATCGGAGCAACGCGTCTCGCCACCATTCGTCCAGAGCCCACCGCCACTCTCAGAACTCCCGCGAGCCAGCCTTCGTCCTTAACATGGTTACCACCAGCCGGTATACGCCACTCTGTGTCGCGAGTTTCCGCTGATCTCGTCGGCGGGCGCGGGCCCAGTCACGGCTGGCCGCACGGAGGCAACCGCTCGGCGCGCTTAGAGGTGACGGCGAGGGCGGGAGGCGCGCGGCCGCGGCCCGCTGGTGCGCGGCCGTCGCAACGGCCGCCGATGAGACGGCAGCAGCAACAGACGGAGGATAAGGACGGACCGCTGATGAACAGTGATATCAGGTGAGACGGACCGCAGGTGAACTGAAAGCAGGTGATTCGCACTGCAGATGAACACTAATATCGACGGACCGCAGGTGAACAGTAGATCAGATGAGACGGAGTGCAGGTGAATGGTGGACAGGTGAGTCGAATCGCATGCCAACAGCCGTGCTAGATAAGCAATAATAAGAAGGATCCCTGACGTTAGGTGAAACTTCCCAGGCTTGATTAGATTAGAAGGCAAGCCGTGAGCGACGGGGGGGGGGGGGGGGGGAGAGAGGTGGGGAGGTGGCGGGGGGGGGAAGGGGGGCAATGCAGCCTCTGGAGCGCAATGCATCGTAGCCCGTGGATCGCTTGCCTCGGGGCTGTCGCGACGCGTCCCATTGGAGACCGTTTGGTTAGCATGGATTGTGGAAAGTTCGGTCCGATGCGTCTCAACGTAGGCTTTAGTTTGCGCAGCAGATTTGAGGCGGAGCGGATTAAAGCGGTCACCTGTGCGTGCATTTCGCCGCACACGACGCGCGAGCTGTCGGCGAGAGCAGCTGCAGGCGTCTGAGCCGTGGCACGGTGCGCTATCTTGACGCGTCGCGAGGGTGTCTTTGAGGCGCCTTGGAACGCGAAGGTTGACTCGACGCGCTGTTTCGACGCGGCTCGTGCGTGTTGTTGAAGTGGTTCGTCGAACTATATCCGATTCAGAGTGTGAGGGGATTGGGTGCGGGGGGTTAATGCTCGGGTGTGGGGGGGTCGCGCGAAGCACTGTGATCACGACGGGTGCGCGTGTGGGGGGTCCGTGTGGGTCGCGGTAAGAAAATCCCCTCCATTGCCGACAATGTTGATATCACTTTTGAGAATCACGATGTTCTTAAAAGAGACTTCCCTCCTTTGCCGACGACGATCTCGCAGCGTTCGCTCTGCCGCAACGCGAACGACCTGGCCATCGCGAGTCGAGCCTAACCGACCTAACGGTCACCATGTTCGCACCGCGTTTTCATTTTGATGTGCGAATCGATTGCGTGTGTGGAGTCTAGTCGAGTCGAGTCGGCTCACTAGTCGCCACATGCCAGTCACTAGTCGAGTCGATTCGCCATGCACCATCCACCAGTAACCATGTAACATCCACCATGCACCATCCACCATCCACCATCCACCATGCAACATGTATCTACGTACCCCGTATGCCAAACCATTCTGCACCCATCCATCCGTCCCTCCACGTGGCAGGGTGCCCACGCTGCGGCTGCTGGCAGAGGACCAGGCTCTGGTGAGTGCAGCAGCACCGCGTGGCTGCTCGGAGGGATTCTCCTTGGCGCCCCTTTGACCTCTGTCAATGCACACTTGCTGCTTTCTTCGCGTAGTGTAGGCGAGCGAGAGAACAAGAGCATTGAACAAGGAGTCCTTCTCGAGTTATTGTAGGTGTACATCTTTGTTCTCTCTCGCGCTGCGCCTCCCATCTCCTAGTCTCACCGTCGCCCTTTTTTATTACCTGCCGCTGTGACTAACTTGAGCCATGGCTGTAGTCGTGGCCGTTCCTCTCCTCTCCTGTTCCTGACTGAAACTCACTGTGCCTTCCACTCGCCCCTCTCTTTCTCCCTTTCCCGCTCCCTCTGCCTGTGCCTGTCTGCCTGCCTGCCTGCCTGTGCGTGCCCGTCTGTGCGAGCGAGCATGAGAGCAGCTGGGGATAGTATCGAGAGAGGAGGCGCTCTCCAAGGCCCGAGAGGCGGGGCTTGACCTGGTGAGCCGGTGCTGGGGAGTTTTGAGGCGTTCTGTGATGTGATGAGGCGTGCTGCGGCGTGCTGCGGCGTGCTGGGGTGTACTGGGGTGTGCTGGGGTGTACTGGGGTGTGCTGGGGTGTGCTGGGGTGTGCTGGGGTGTGCTGGGATGTGCTGGGGTGTGCTGCTGCGATTCCACCCAGAGGTAGGGTTGCAGAGTTGAACCTGGTGAGTGGTTGCTGCTGTCCCGTTGGGAGAGCCCGTGATTGCTTCTCCATTCGCTCATTCTTCCGCTTTCATTGCCCCACCTCAGTTACCCTCCCCTGCCCTCCCTCCGTTACCCTCCCCTGCCCTTCCCTGCCCTTTCCTACCCTCCCCTACCCTCCCCTGCTCTCCCTTACCATCCCCTACCCTCTCCTGCCCTCCCCTACCCTCTCCTGCCCTCCCCTGCCCTCCCTCCCTGCCCTCCCCTCCCCTCCCCTCCCCTCCCCTCCCCTCCCCTCCCCTCCCACCCCTACCCTCCCCTGCCCCCCCCCCCCTCCCTCCCCTACCCTTCCCTGCCCTTCCCTGCCCTCCCCTACCCTCCCCTAACCCCCCCTAACCTCTCCTGCCCTTCCCCGCCCTCCCCTGCTCTCCCTGCCCTCCCGTGCCCTCCCGTGCCCTCCCCTGCCCCCCCCTGGTCAGAACTTGAGCTTAGAATCTATGAATTAGTAATGAGCTTGAAGCTCTTTAAGTACATCCACAATGAGCAAGAAATGGATGGGGAGGGAATCGGGGGCAATATCTAGAGATTGGGGTAATCCCAAGGCAATTCCCAACTAGTGGGTTGGAGATTGCTTGCAGATCACATTTGAGTCTGGTTGGGATGTGGGCGTACACCCAACCAAACACAAGTGCAAAGTATACTAAACTAGGATATATAAAGTACAAGTACAAAATGTGAGATTGAAGGCTAACACTAACACCCCTACCCTCCCCTAACCTCTCCTGCCCTCCCCTGCCCTCCCCTGCCCTCCCCTGCCCTGCCCTCCCCTGCCCTCCCCTCCCCTCCCCTCCCCTCCCCTCCCCTCCCCTCCCCTGCCCTCCCCTCCCCTCCCTTCCCCTCCTCTCCCCTGCCCTGCCCCGCCCTTGCGTGCCATGCATGCGGGGGTGAGAGCAGGTGATGATAGCAGCGGATGCCAAGCCGCCTGTGGCACGAATCATGGACTACAGGTGAACGCTCAGTGCTCACCTCACCCACTCACATGGGCTGTTTGTGTAGGAGGCGTACTGACATTTCAGTGATTGCGTCTGGTGTATGTGAGTATGCACTCGTTTGTGTGCTCGTTTGTGTGCTCGTTTGTGTGCTCGTTTGTGTGCTCGTTTGTGTGTGCTGTTTACCTTCAGCTCCCTCCCTCAGCCTCTCTCTGGTAAGCAATCATACTCTGTCTTGCTTCTGCTTGTTTACTGCCTCATCCCGTCCCACCTGTTTCATCCTCGTTACAGCAAGTTCCGGTACGAGCAGCAGAAGAAGAAGCGCGAGCAGCAGAAGAAGGCTGCTGCCAGCCGCCAGGAGCTCAAGGAACTCAAGATGCGGTCAGCTCCCTCACTCACCCTCTCACTCCCTCACTCGTGCCAATCCAGCCCTTCTTCCATCCCTGTAATCCATTTCTTTGTATTATCAAGGACATGCCGACAGGAGCTCAACATGCGGTCAGCTCCCCACTCCCTCACTCCCTCACTCCCTCCCTCCCTCACTCACTCACTCACTTCCTCACTCACTCCCTCGTTCGTGCCAACCCTTCATCTCTGTGAGCAAATTTTTAGAATTCTCAGACCTTGGGATTGCATGTCAACCTTGGGATTGCATGTCCACCTTGGGATTGCATGTCAACCTTGGGATTGCATGTCAACCTTGGGATTGCATGTCCACCTTGGGATTGCATGTCAACCTTGGGATTGCATGTCCACCTTGGGATTGCATGTCAACCTTGGGATTGCATGTCCACCTTGGGATTGCATGTCAACCTTGGGATTGCATGTCAACCTTGGGATTGCATGTCCACCTTGGGATTGCATGTCAACCTTGGGATTGCATGTCAACCTTGGGATTGCATGTCAACCTTGGGATTGCATGTCCACCTTGGGATTGCATGTCAACCTTGGGATTGCATGTCAACCTTGGGATTGCATGTCCACCTTGGGATTGCATGTCAACCTTGGGATTGCATGTCCACCTTGGGATTGCATGTCAACCTTGGGATTGCTTAGTTGAGAAAAAGTTTGCATGTTGACGTTGAGAACGCACACTCTCACTTCCCTTCCCCACAGCTTCTCTACCCTTTTCCCCTCCTCCACTTTTCCCTCCTGCAACTTTCTTCTCGCCCATCGCCCCTCCCCACCCAACCCCTTCCCTGCTCCGGCCATTTGTCTAGTAAGGCATGCGTCCACTTGTCGTGCCGACATACCTGTGAGAGTGAGTGAGTGTGAGGCATTTGCAGCATTCGAGGCAATCGCCCCTTGACTCTCCTTGTGCGTTCCCCCTCTCCTCCCTCCTCCCCCTCCCACCCAGGTAAAACATCGACACGGGCGATTACAACGTGCGACCCAATTGTGAGTGACGTGAGGCATCAGTGCTTTCACTCTGCTTGTGCCTTCCCCGACCCTCCACCCCCTCCCCACTGGTCCTCCCCAGGTACAACATTGACACGGGGGACTACAACGTGCGCCTCAAGCAGGCGCTCAAATTCCTGCACGATGGCGATAAGGTGCGGTGCATGATGGCGATAAGGTGCGGTGCATGATGGCGATAAGGTGCGGTGCATGATGGCGATAAGGTGCGGTGCATGATGGCGATAAGGTGCGGTGCATGATGGCGATAAGGTGCGGTGCATGATGGCGATAAGGTGCGGTGCATGATGGCGATAAGGTGCGGTGCATCTGGGGAAGGCGTGTGGTGCATCTGGGGAAGGGGTGTGGTGCATATGGGGAAGGGGTGTGGTGCATATGGGGAAGGGGTGTGGTGCATATGGGGAAGGGGTGTGATGCATATCGGGAAGGGGTGATGCATGGTGGGGAGAAGGGGTGATGCATGGTGGGGATAAGGAGTGATGCATGGTGGGGAGAAGGGGGGATGCATGGTGGGGAGAAGGGGTGATGCATGGTGGGGATAAGGAATGATGCATGGTGGGGAGAAGGGGTGATGCATGGTGGGGAGAAGGGGTGATGCATGGTGGGGAGAAGGGGTGATGCATGGTGGGGATAACGAGTGAAGAATGATGGGGATACTGTGTACGGCAAAATAAGAGCTACAAAAGACTTTTCCGCATATGTTTCCCCATTCCTCATCTGTCCCTTCTCCCCTCCCTTGCCGTCTGCCCTTCCTCCTTTCTGCCCCTCTCTCCACCTTTTCCACTCCCGCCTTCGGAGTGTGTGTGGGAGGGCAGGTGAAGCTGACGGCGCAGTTCAGAGGGCGCGAGATGGAGTTCAAGGAGCTGGGGGTGAAGCTCTTTGAGAAGTTCCAACACGACGTCGCTGAGGTGAGAGCATGGTGTGGCTGGTGTGAGAGCATGGTGTGGCCGAGGTGAGAGCATGGTGTGGCTGAGGTGAGAGCATGGTGTGGCTGAGGTGAGCAAATAGCATGGTGTGGGCTGTGTTGCCTTCACCTGTGGGCACACTCTTGACCACTCACCTTCTTCCCTCTGCCCTGTTGCTCCCTCCCTGCAGCTGGCGATAGTGGAGTCGAAGGCGCATCTGGAGGGGCGATCGGTGCACATAGGTGCCAGCGCGCAACAAGGCCACATTCACCCCCCTCACCTTAATGCGCGTGCCTCTTCTACTCATGTCTTTCCCACTCCCCTTGCAGCTGGCGATCGTGGAGTCGAAGGCGCATCTGGAGGGGCGGTCGATGCACATGGTGCTGGCGCCCAACAAGGCCGTGCTGCAGCGCATGGCTGCCGCCGAGGAAAAGAGCCGGCGGGCGGCGGAAAGGAGCAAGCGTGCCGAGACGCGTGGAGTGGTGTCTGGGAGTGAGAGTGACGGGGGGGAGAGTGGGGGGGAGAGTGATGGGGAGAGCGATGGGGAGGAGGTGGTGGAGGTTGTGAAAGAGAAAAGTGGGCGGCAATAGGTGATGTGGAAAATTTGGGTGAAGAAAACGGAACGAAATGCATATTTTTGGAGATAAGCTATAATGGTAGTTTTTGGTAGTCAACATCTGCTACCGTATTTTGGACAAAACACCCCCCAATGATAGAGCACCCCCGGGTAGCTTGTGCAGGGTGGATGCTATGGAAGACCTCGATTTCACTATACCCCCCTTTTTGGATGATTTTTTATAACACCCCCCTTATCTTACTGATTCTATATTATAGCTGTTAACGAGTAGGTGCAAATATGGAAATATATCGCGAAAATTCCTCGCTCGATGGAATTTCTCTTTTCTTTCACATCGAATCTGCCGAGATTCCCCCCCGCCCACTATTTCGCTGTCGCCACGTACTGGAGAATCTTCCGCTGCATGTGGCCGGGGGGGTGCCAAATGACATTTTCGAGGGGTTGATGACGTTCGCGTCGAAACTGGCATTCGCGCCTTAACATGTGATGTTTAAAGCCCAAAGCCCGAATTACAAAGTCAAAAGCAAACTGGTGACACTGTGCCTCCCGCACCTTCCTCTGCCGAACCACGTCGAGGGATCCCCACCTGCTTGGGGCTGTGCCCAAAAGTGATGACAGTTTGGTGGCGTGACGGTAATTCAGCAAAGGCATTGACTTTCCAGTTTGGGGCGGTTGCTTGGGGCCCAGTGTTGCGATTCACTTTGCTTTCGCCCATTCTTTTCGCGAATCATTGGGTTCGCTTTTGTTCCGAACCATTCCCCCAACATCCTCCCGAACTTAGGTTTTACCGAGTTGACCAGCTTTGAGTAATTCGGGGTTTGGCCTTTAAAAGCCCATGGTAACACTCAACTTCTCTAATAAAAAAAAACTAACACTAAAATATACCATCTATATGCACCCGGGTATTATGTAGCTTTTTCCTATGAGAAGACACCCCCCTTTTTTTCCCTATATTTTTAGATCTACCCTAAGGTGCTATGTCCGGGAGAATTCGGTGAGGAAAGTAGAACGAGAATGGATTGACTAAGGAATGAGAGTGATATAAATATGCAACCCTAGAAATGTGTACCCCATATAGACTACCCCACTATAGCCTACACAATATTATAATTTGACACACCCCCATTGACAAAATAAAAGAGAACAAGGGGTCACAAGACCAGTCAAGCACAGCAAGGCAAAGCTCAGGGTGGATCACAACGTCACCACACAGTCCGAGCACAAGGTCAAAGCCACAAGGCCAGTTCACATGCAGGAGTGCACATATATATATAAGACTAAACAAGCAAGAGCAGGTATATATATATGTAAGAGTACAAGCAAGATCAAGAGGTCAGCAAGTGAGGCAAGACAGGCACAAGACCCAGCTGAGTGCAGAAGCCCTGATGATCACAAGGCGGAAGTGCCTTGGTGAAAACATCAGCAGTGTTGGCCTCAGAGGCCACGTACGCAAGTCGCAACTGACCACGCTGCTGCAGCTCACAAGCAAGAAAGTAGCGGAGAGCAATGTGCTTTGTTCTGTGCTCCAGGTGCTGCTCCCGACACAAGGCTAGCATGGCCTTGTTGTCTACGTACAGCACCGGAGGAGAACGAGGCGGCTCTCCGAGGTCAGTCAGCAGGTAGGTAAGCCAGCGAAGCTCTTGTGCAGCCATGGCCCCGGCGTAGATCTCAGCCTCACAACTGGAGCCGAGAACAGAAGACGAGCGAGTAGCCCGCCACGAAACAGAGCCGAAACCAAGGCTGAAGGTGTAACCCTGTGACGACCGCTGCGTAGCCTGGTCGTTTGCCCAAGAAGCGTCCGCGTGCCCAGTGAGGACCACTGGACTTTACCCTCCAAGCACTAGCCCCATGCCCGACGTACTGCACAAGTAGCGCAACACCCTCTTCGCTGCAGCCATGTGCTCTGGTCTGTGTCTCCCAGGAGCAACATAGCGTGCAAGAATGCTAAGAGGGTATGCAAGGTCAGGTCGTGTGCAGGTCATCAGGTACATGAGGCAGCCAACAAGCTCTGGGTACGGGCCACTCGACTCTACGGACTCATCCGAAGGAAGAGCTGAGAGCGAGTGGCGAGTAGACAGAGGAGTGGCCTGAGGCGAGGAGTACATGAAGCCGAAGCGCTGAAGGACCTGCTGCACCATGTGTGAACTAGTCAGGGTGATGGTGCGGCTTGCTCTGTCCCGGGTGATCTGCAAGCCAAGGTAGCTGCGCAGTTCACCCAGGTATGTGCACGTGTGTCTCTTCTGCAGCTCGGACTTCACGTGGGCGAGTCCAGCAGTGTCAGCTGTGGCAAAGACCAAGTCGTCGACGTACACGAGGATGTAGAGCGGCGGCAGAGAGGTGTCGGTGCGTAGAAACAGCGACGGGTCAGCAGTAGAGGGAGCAAACCCAAGAGCCGCAAGTGTAGTCCTCAGTGTGTCGTGCCACTCGCGCGGTGCCTGGCGGAGACCGTAGACTGGCCGTCGGAGGCTCCACTGGGTGCCAGGAGGGAAAGTCACAGTGAAGCCAAGTGGACGGCACAACCAGATCTCCTCGTGCAGGCTACCCTGCAAGAAAGCAGTGCTGAAGTCAAGGGAGTGTAGCTCGTAGTCACGCTGAGCGGCTATGTGTAGCAGCACCCGAAGAGTGGTCATCTTCGGGGTGGGAGAGAAGGTCTGAAAGTAGACAACTCCCTGCCGCTGACTGAAGCCATGAGCCATGTACCGCGCCTTGAAGACAGGTGGAGAGCCCGGCGGCCGCTTCACCCTGAAGATCCACATGCCACTGACGATGTTCGCCCCAGGAGGGGGAACCGCGTCAACGTAGGTGCCTGTGGACTTCCAGGAAGCCATCTCTGCATCCATAGCTGCCTGCCACTGAGAGGAGTAGGGGCCCTCTATGGCCTCCGCGTAAGAGCGCGGAGTCGGGATGTCTAGTGCATCCGGGTCTCCCTCAGGGGTAAGCAGTACGGACGCGAGATGAGGTGAAGCAGCAGCCAGACACTGGAACTCCTCCTGCCTGTCCTCAAGGACGTCCGTGCCAAGAGCACACTCACCCCCGACGGACGGAGGACAGACACACGCAGACTCAGCAACAAGAGTAGCAGCGTAGTCTAGACGACAGCTAGCAGCAAAGTCGACGAGCTCAGCCACAAGAGCAGACGCAACAGTGGACTCAAAGGAGGGGTCAGTGACGACAGTAGCAAGGAGACGCGTGACAGTAAGACTGGTAGCACGAAGAGAGTCCGACTCAGGGTCGGCAAGCGCAGGAAGAGAGGACTTAGGAGGAGAGGGCAAAGGGGCACGCAGAGGAGCAGTGGACGGACGCACAGACATCCGGTGCGTGCCAGGGACAGGAGGAGGACGCTGACGCGAACTGCGACCACTAGTGCGAGCATCACGAACAGGCGACGAAGGACGAGACGCAGGCTCACGACGCTCAGCAAGACCTCCAGTAGGACCAGTGTACGGAGAAGGAGAAGGCAGTGGGGAGGCCGGCGGTAACTGTGACTGTGACTGGACAGGCGGTGGACACTCTAAGGGAGGAGGAAGACCAAGAACCTGCTGAAGGAGCGGAACAAAGTACGGCCGAGGCCGCGCGGCGACTCCAGACACAGCAGGGACAGCACCAGCACCCCCAGCAGCAGCACCAGCGTCAACAGCACCTCCAGCTCCAGTACCTCCAGCAGCACCAGCATCACCCGCAGCAGGACCGCTGCCAGGACTGACAGCAGTAGCCTCTGCGCCAACACCCTCAGCAGCTCCGACTCCAGTAGCACTCGCAGGACTAGCACCTCCGAGACCGGCGGCACCAGCACCCTCAGCACCCGAAGAAGCACCAGCTCCAGTAGTACGCCTCCAACGCCGGGCAAACCACTCGCGCAGCTCCTGTGGAGAGAGTGGCTCCCGCCGAGACGAAGCACCCGGAGAACCACCAGGCCCAGCACCGCCAGACGCCACACAAGCAGGTCCAGCGGCCGCGGGCTCCGCACCCCCAGGCTCTGTAGCTCCAGACTTAGCACCCCAAGGCTCAGCAGCTCCAGACGCAGCACCCCCAGGCGAAGGACCCCTAGGCTCAGCACCCCCAGTCGTAGCACCCCTAGGCTCCGCACCCCCAGTCGCAGTACCCCCAGGCTCAGCACCCCTAGTCTCAGCACCCCCAGGCTCAGCACCCCCTCGTTCAGCACCCCCAGAGTCAGCACCCCCAAGCTCAGCACCCGCAGCAGTGCCAGAGTCACCAACAACCTCGACCGGCCCGACTGCGTCTACCTGGGACACACCTGAAGGGGCAGGACCCTGAGGGGGGAGGGGGTCTACCTGAGGGGGACCTGGCACAAGGAAGTGCGGCGGCGGGGGGAGGGAAGGAGTGCGGTAGGGTAAGAGACGGTAGTAGGGGACGGACTCGTCGAACGTGACGTCCTGGGAGGACAGAACACGACGAGAGGAGGGGTGGTAGAACGGCCACCCAGGGGCGTCAGTGGGGAAGCCAAGGAAGACACAGGGAGCAGCACGGGGGGACAGCTTGTCCGCAGACAAGTCGCGGACAAACACCCGAGATCCCCAGACATGGAACGCAGACGCATCGCCGACCTTGCCCGTCCACAGCAAGGCTGGGGAGGTCTCCGGCCTGGAGACCCTGGGGTGAAGGTTGATCTGATGCGCAGCGTACCAAACCGCAAACGGCCACAGAAAATGGGGGGCAGCCGCATGCATCATGGACGTACGAGCGACGTCCATGACCATGCCAATGCGGCGCTCAGCAATCCCATTTTGCTGTGGAGAGTTCGGAAGCGTAAAGGTCTGGCGGATGCCTCGCGCACGACAGTAGGCTCGCAGAAGGCCAGAGGAGAACACTCCGCCTCGGTCAGAGTGCAGACGCAGAACAGGAAAGTCCGAGCCGAAGCTCCTCCTGAGCTGGAGACGAGCTGCGCGGATCCAGTCGATCAACACCTCAGTGACATCACCTTTGCTGCGCAAAGGGAAGACTGTGGTGTAACGCGAGTAGTCGTCAACCACCAGCAGGAAGTAGCGCTCGTGA